CCCCGCCGCCCCACTTGACAAAGTCGCTTTGTGGCCAGCTTTATTATAGACTTCGACTCTGTGCCCGGCAAAGGCCCCCCCAATTTGTATGCTTGGGTCAATGCTTTGTGAATTTGAAATGTACAGGAGCAGGAGCAGAATCAGAAGCAGACTCGGCAATTACCCGGGAGTATACTTGTACTACGAGTATACTATTATAACTACTAAATTATTACTATGCCTCTTTTTGCAGCTCATTAGCGTCCGTCGCATCTGCTCGTAAAAGTGGCAGGCAGGGGCTTGGCTTAGATAGTACGGGGGGCACTAAATTATGCCCAGTGCAATCAAGTTGAGTGCGTACTACAGGCTAAATAAGTAGTTGTTCTTGTTGTTTATTCATAAAGGCTTCCCGCGCACAGAAATTGTCAGCCAAAGGGCTTTGACAAGAAAAATGACAACTTAAGGCAAAGTATAAAGCGGCGAGAGGGTGGAAGGAGGAAGCATAAAAGTGCAGTTGAAACCACACACACAAAGGACACACATACAAAGGTAAACGAAGCGCGCTCGCTTTGAGGGGTGCGAAAGGGATGGCAGGATGTAAATTTGTCACTTTACTCCTTCTGCTTTGGTTATTTTTCCCTGTGTGTGTTAATGAACTTGCGGTGCTCTATGTTCATGCATTTGCCTCCCTCACACTCGTTCCGAATTTAAACAATGCCATCAATAATTATAGAATATAGAAGTAGACATACCATTTTTATACTGCCAAGAATCGGAGACACCGAAGCACATCAGCACAAAGATCACAAAGGGTGGACTCCATCCACCTCCATAGAAACTAGCTCTTGCACATCTTGCCGCTTTCGTTGTATATTTGATTGTAAGTTGGCACAGTTGAGGTTCGATTTGAGTATACTTTCTGAATGGCTCGCGGGCCATTTTCTTATGGACACAATCTCAGAAATTCCAAGACATTTGGAGTAGAAATAAGCGAAACGAACCGATCGTCTCCACGGGTTTTGTTAGGCACTAATAATCATTATCTATAGCACACAAAAGTACTGCAAGAGAGAGAGCAAGAACAAGAGGGAACAATTTAAGACCAGACCCAGACACAGCAAAAAAACTTCAGTCGGGGTATTAATTACACTGTGCAGCAAAACCTGCTGCAACGCTTTTGCACGCGGTAAAGTTTCTATTTCCGATTTGTTTACATTGAAACCTTTATGTAGTACATATATTTGTATTTTTGCGATCTTAAAGATTTCTTTTCTATGGTTTTGTTGCGCAGTGTGATCGCGTTGTTCTTGAGGTTTTTGTGTTTGTGTGCGTCAGTGCTTTGGACAAATTGTTGTTGTCGTAAAGTAGCTGAGCGATAAGCAATTGTGAAACTGTGTAGGTGTGTGTTCTGGTTGCTAAATTGAAATATTGTTAATGATAACATTGCACATTGCACTAGTATAAAATTTCCTTTTCCTCTTTGACGCAACAAGCCGGCAAATGCAGCAGATTGCAACCCCCAAAGCACTGCATTTCCTCGCAATGGAAAATTTAACAAAAATCAAAACAACGGACAGACGGACCCGCTAGAAAATAAAGCAACGCAACGCAACGGTTCGGTTAGGGTCGGGGGCGCGGGCACACAACAAAACATCTTTCAAGCAGGCCATAAAATTAGATGCCCGAATCATGTGGAATGTTGTTTGTGTGTGTGCAAGCCTCGAATCACCGCGCTCTTGTTATGTTTTTAGAACCATTTCATGTACATTTAAAAACACAAAACACACCAACTTGCACACCGCTGCACATTTCCCACAAGGGGGACGCAACAACATCAGGTAATTCTCTATCAAAATGTTTTAATTCAACACTTGTGCCTACATCGGCTTGTTTAGCATGCGCGATTTGGTCCGCGAGTAGCCATTTTGTTGGTACTTTATTTTGTAAATATTTTATTTACTTTTCACGATTTTACACCTTGCGCACCACCGTGTTCATTTTTCGACTGCGTTTGTTGATTTATCAGTGTGACCGCGGACTTATCGATAAATATAGAAATATACCGAAACATACCGCCTCATTTTCAAAATATACCGTAAATATACTGACGAAATCAAGTTTTATTTTACATATTCCTCGTTTTTGATATTCCGTGGAATATTACTAGCTATATAGAACATTTAGCCGCGCCCACATAATTTTATCCGATTCGTGAACCTATTTTCTGCTTGACTGGCCTATTTTAAATACTTGCTTTTACTGGATCTTGTCTAAAAAGAGGTTTTAGCGAAATAGGTCAAACAAAAAAAGGTTTTAGCAAAATAGGTAAAAACAAAAAAAAAAACGAAAAAAGATAGTCGTTCCTATTGATCAATTTTGATGTTGCGTTGAATAATTCTGGCTAACTAAAACCTTTAGTTTTGCCCACGGAATTTTAGGCCATTGATAAATACGTTTTCTGAAAGATTGACTAGTTTCTTAGTACTTACTTTTATTGTATTGTATTGCCGGTATTTGAAGACATGATGCTTGTATAGGCCTTTCTATACCCTATTTCGTTAATTTAATAAGAAGAATGGAAGAAAACCAATATCCTTTTTCCTAGGGTTCTCAGAATATTGCCAATGTTGCATCGAGCATGGAATGCCCAAAGCAAAAATCGCGTCGCTTCCGTTTCAAATCCGTCTCAGTTACCAAAACCGTTTCCGTTAACGTGCTATATATTTGAACTTGTGGAAAACGGCACCGAACCACATGAACAAATAAGATTAAGATAAGATTAAATAAGATTAAGCCCAAGATGCTTGGGCACCACCATTCATTTCTCAACTGCTTTATTTTTGTTTGAATAAAATCTACTTTATTTGATTGTGTATTGGGTGGGTATAAGGGGGAGTGGGTTTAAAATAACGACTAACAAATCGATTTTCAGCGAGACTTACCATCCATATATACAACACGCACGTAAAGGTTGATATTTTCCGCAGCTCCGCTCCTGATAGAACAGAACATAGTAATATAGCAAAAGTTGTTCTCGAGTAAAATAAGAGAAACACTAATGCGGAAAGAGCATCTCGCAATGCAGAGGAAGTCAAAGGGAGAACGTCCAACTGTACAACTGTTTTCTTCTTTGACGTAAGATACCTCCACTGAAAGGCGACCTTTAAGCTGGTCTGCCGTTTACCCAGCCTACAACGCGTGCAGCCTTCTCTGGAAAGTCGTTCCTAGACTTACGTCACCATTCACCATTATAAGGATTAGAACTTGTTCAAAATTCAAGCCACTATAGAAAGATGTCACAAAAGGATCCTACACAAAACACAAAGTTGTCAAAGTTAAAAACACATTTAAAATGGCAGAAAACTTTCAATGTTGTCCTGATATATCTCCAGGTATAGGCATTGTACATATATAAACAATCGTATGAAACGAACGAAAAACTCAATGAAAAGTTTTTTTTATATAAATCTTTTGGAGGCATATGGGAAGCTCTCAGTATTTAGTACAATATCAAATTTCAATGTAGAGGTGGCTTAAAAAAAATGCAACATTAATCATTGCGATTTAACACAGAAAATTCTATTGCTTCTGGATCAGGCTCATGATCATGTCGCAAATTAACATGGGGCATTGAGTATACTAGCTTGTTCCAGAAATTGGGGTCGTCTCGTTTGAGATACGTGTTCAGCACCATGTAAGTCCGCAGCTCGCTGTCGAGATCATCAAAGTTCTCCACTTCGGGATAGAGGACCACAATGAGGCGCTTGCATCGATCCTGGGAAGTTGCATGCAGAGCGAGCCGGAACTCCAGTCGCCCCCACGTCGAGTTCAGGAAGTTGATCGTCATCAGGATGATGATGCGCTTCGAATCCTTCACAGATTGACTGATGCACTCGGGAATGGACACGCCCACGAGCCAGTCGCGCAGATAGAAGCACAGTCGGAAGCAGTGGTCACCATTTTCCAATCTATCCACGAACTCCTCAATGAGCTCCTCGTCCTTGTGGGTGAATGATAGAAACGCATCGAACTTCTTCTGTTTGTCGAATTCCCGTCGGGCGGCGAGATTTAAGCAAACATTGTGCTCGTAGAACCAGATCAGGAGAGGCTGTTTGATGTAAATCATCAAGTTTATAGTTAGAATCATTAGCATGAAAGATATGGTGAGGGTCACATAGTGCACGGTGCCGGAAGGGCATAAATCACTCTCATCTGTGAGGATCATTAGCTTTCCCGTGCCAACGCAGTAGATGTCTGTTACATTTTCGACATACCGCGAACGGCTCTTCACAAAGTGCAGAAAATCTTTCTCCTCGCAATTGCAAGTCCAAGGATTCCCAGAGAGTAATACCTTCAGCTGTGTGGAGGCTCTCCTCTTGTCGAAGAACATCCGCATCTGATGCCTTAGCACCGAAATGCTATTGTTTCTTACGTCGAGAGTTGTTATATTCTCAGGCAGTTGGTTTATTTCAGTAAGTCGATTGTTGGCCAGATATAAATGTCCTAACTTTGCATATCCGCGCAGGGAATTGGGGGGCAAGGCTTCGAGATAATTCCCTTCGAAATGAAGAGTCGATTGTCCAGATATTGGTGTAGGTAAAGGAGGTATTGCTTTGAGTCCTTTAAATCTGCAGTCGATAATCATTGAAGGCACTGTAGAATTATCTAGACAGCAGATGCAGGCCTCTGGACACGTTCCTGAAGAGAAGATATTACAACGATCCAGGGCGTCGGTATACTCCAGCGGTTCCTTTTGCCTCAGAAATGAAAGGAAGGACTTTGCCCTGCAGTCGCACTTCCAGGGATTTGCGGATAGTCGAATCTCCAATTCGGCACTTTCCTCGCGTTCTCTAAAGAAATCGACGACCTGATCTTCGAGAGCCTCCAACTGGTTTTTTCGCAGATCCAAAAGTGTGATGTTCTTGGGAATCAAGTGAAATGGCAAGTCCGCTATTTTATTATCGAACAAATGCAGTTCTCTCAGGGAATCATGACCCAATGAGTGTGTAATGATCTCTACCTTATTTGTATCCAGCTGAAGTATGGCATTGTAAGGTATTGCATGCGTAAGTAGAGGATAATAGTTTATATGAGCATTCCTACAGTCGATCATAAAATAATCTGTGCTCCGGTTAAAGCAACAATGGCATCCATCAGGACAAGCTGCATTCAGATGATGAAGATACACCGAGTCCGCCCACCATTTTAAATTATTCCCTAAAGACCGACGGTAAATTTCGTGCAAAAAGTGCATAAAAATATTTTCATTGCAATTGACGATCCATTGGTTACCACACTGCAGGAAATCACCAAGATTTGAGAGATATTTGATCACGTCTTTGTCCAGTGTTTGGATGTTATTGTACCTGATGTCCAAAATATTCAATTTACTTGGTAGCCGATCAACCCTAAGACTAGTCAATCTATTACTGGACACAATTAAACTTTTTACGTCATTATATCCACTCAAAGTGTTGTTGGGCAGCTCCATTAGAGAATTTCCTCTCAGGTCCAGGGTCGTCGATCCTCCAGTAATCGGAATTGGTAATGGTGGGACATATGTAAGTCCACGTCTTGAACAATCTATATGTAAAGTCATATTTCCCCAATAAAATTGACACTCGCATTTAGCAGGGCACTTTATTCCGTTGATTCCGAGGGTAAATTTGCAATTCCGTCGGTTTAAGTTGCAAATTATTGCTGTTATATTCTCATGGGGTTCGTATTTATCAACTTGAATCAACTTTAACCTGGAATAGCCCTCGAAATATTTCATATCCACCTTTTGATTGACTTCCAGAACAACATTCAGCAAGCTCTTTTGAAGATTGTCAGATCTAAAACAGAAAAATACCAAATCACTCGTAGATTAAGGGCCGCCAAATAAGGACTAGTAGAATCAAGTGGTGTTTTTTTAAAACCTTTTACGAACCTTAGGAAAGAGAGATCCTCTACATTGGTCCTGGTAAAATTTAATGTCTGTAAGTTTTTCAAATTGTTGAATACTCTAGAAGTGAGGTTTTTAAAATCTATACCATTAAATTTCAGAAATTTTAAATTGGTTTTTCCTGCTAAAATTGTCCTGTTCATCCAGAGTGAAGAATATTCGTATGGTCCCCAATAAAAAATTGCAATGCCTTCTAGATGATTCAGGCTCATGTGAATGTAGTCATTAATAAAATATGTAAACCTGTCGAAAACAATCGTTAGATACTTCGATCCATTTAAATAATGTAGATTGTTCTCATATATTTCAAAATATTGACTAAATAAATTGTATATCGACACTTTCTGTACACCGAGATCTCTGAGATAGTACACTCCAGGACGAAGTGTGGAGTTCTTAGAAACTCCCACACTTAACTTTTTTAGCATGACATTAGTGTCCTTAGAAATGGCGAAGATATTCCACTCTTTGCAGTCGGCGTTTATCCACTCGATTGTCAAGTGTCCATGGTCTAAATCCAGCGTGTAGTCGTTGGTGATGAAAGTGGATCGATCTTTGCGGCACGTTCTGTCACTGGAACTGTTATTGCATGCACCTTTACAGTATATTTCACAGTAATCCTCTCTGATGTTTTCCAACAACTTTTGAGCACTAAATGAATTTATTTGCAAGAGTATCAAAAATATATTCCACGACATTTTTGGATGCGAACGATGTCGAAGATTGATTCAAACTAAACAAGCAAGACGAATATTTGTTGGGTAAGATCCCATTGGTTTCCCAGACGGAAGAAAAAGAAAGAAAAAACATTAATTTTATCATACTCCCATAAGTGCTGTTGTAAATCCACTGGAGTGTCATAAATATTTAAGAACTGAAAGGAAGAGATTCAGTTAATTATTTTGACATACAAATAATCGGACTATTCCTGAGAGGATCGTGCACAATTTCTTAAAAACGGATATGGCAATGTTGAATTGACTTTTCATCCCGTATTCTCAGTGTATGAACAGAAGATTGGCTGTGTAAATTCTTTTTTGTGCCGTGTTCTGGCCGTTATTCCTTGTATTTTTCTATTCCATTACCGTATATTTTAAAATGAATTTTACTTGTTATTGAATTCAAAGCCAATCACTAGTTGGCTCCATCGATCTAATTTTAATGTAGTGCTTAATAAACTCTAAATTAAATAAAAGTTAACCTAATGCTAGGTATGGTTGTCCATGAATTGCAGCTCCGACCACAGCAGCAGAGCGTTCGGCGGCAGGGGTCGTGGTTGCGGCGAGAGGAGCATAACGACTTGCCTTTCCATATCCACCTCGGTACTGTAAAATGCAGAAAGTAACTTTATCATAAATATCCCATTCGTGGTGTTTTCTATATACTTACACGCAACAGAAGCCTGCAATATTCGTGCCAATCACATCATCGTCCACGGACTCTGCAAAAGACAGGGCCAACACGTGATGGATCAGTGCCGGGGTTGGCGTTACAGCCACCACTTTTGTCTTGTTGTCCTCGGCCTTCATGCCGATGGGCATGCAGGAGTCTGGCAGCGGAGGAGCGCCAATTTTGTACAATCGCAGCTCCTGGAATTTCACCTCAAAGGAAAACGGATAGAAGGGGGCACGGGCATTGCCATAGAAGTATTCCTTGATGCGCTGATCCCGGCACTCGTGCCTCAGCTCCTTGCTGCGCTCCACAACACCGCCACTCTTGGGCAACAGGACCACATGAACGCTTGAGGGCACATCCCGCAGCAGCTCGTTGTACAGTCGCTCCTGATCCAATACGAAAATAGCGCAAGCACCATAGGCCCTGGCTGCATGAAGCAGATGCGCATACCCATGGCCCTTGACCCAGCCGCAGGTGTTGACTATGATGCCGGAGCTTTTTGCTGAAAGGTGGCTTACAGAATGCTTACAGATCCACACGAACGGCATCTACTCACTGCGCTTGTTCCCGTTAAGTGACTGCAGCGTGACCTCGGCCATCTTGGAGACCACTGCGTTGTAGAGGACACTGTTGCCGCTGGGTGACTTGTGTCCGAAGTGGTAGACGAGCGGGGCGGTCTTGGGAAAACCTTCCTCGACACTGGCTGGCCTTTCGATGAGTATGGTGGCCACATTGCCGGATATGGCGATTGCTCCCTGGCCCACATCGAGGTCCGCGTAGAGAGGCCGGCGCCCGACCCTGACTGCATAGTTCAGGAGAATCCGGCAGAGCGTGCTCTTGCCGACGTCCGTGGGTCCCACCACCATGGCCACCGGACCACGTCTATCCTTCTCCTCGGCCTCCGTGCGAAACTGTTCAAGTGCCGCGTGACAATTGACGTACTGGACCATCGGAGTCTCCTTGGATATGTAGCAAACGTCCATTTTGCCAGTGACATGAAGAACGCATCCTTGGTATGTGAAGATCGCCACCTTGGCCCCCATCCCAAACTCATATTTCTTTTTCTTAACCAGCTCGGTTCCAAAGAGCTCCGCAAATCCATTGACTAGCTGTGATGGAAGCAGGAAGAGTTACTGTCATTCTATTGCTTGGCGTGCGCTTACCTACTGTAACCAACACTTTGGCGTCCTTCTGCTCTATTTCAAAACGCAGCTCGGAGTCTGCCTCCAGGCTGAAGTCCTGACCTCTGCTTTGATGATCCGACATTCCAAAAATTTTAATAAATAAAAAAAACGATGCTCAGAAAAACAGCTGGGGGATCAGTGCTGGAAATAGCGTGAGGGCTATGTATTTTAATGTATTTGAAATACGGTCACACTTGCAAAAAAAAAAGCGGGAACACTTTAAACGACGCGTATTGTTGCTAGGAATATTATTGTGTACGCAAATTTACATCGAACTTTGACAGCTATTATGCGACCACCGACAAAAAACAGCGGCGGTCAGCGTGGTGGAAATCCTCCAAAGGCAACACAGAGGGACTCGGACTCTGGGGATGACAGCCCCTCATTCCAATCGCCCGATGATGAAAATGCTACCGACTACGGCTTGGAATTTACCACAAGTCGTCTCAATCTCCAAAACTCTAACAGTCGACGCACCTCAACTGTGCGCAAGGACGTATCTGCTGCCCGTCGGACCCAACAGAATGAGGAGACGTCTGACGAAGAGAATCGGCCACCAGAACCAGCAGACCGTCGCGCCGGCCAGAGGCAGGAGTCGTCCTCTCAGGAAGACAATCAAGCTCTGGAACTCAACACTTCAAATCGCAGTCTCCGTTCTTTAAATGCCCCACAGCCGCAGCGACCAAGAGCGAATCCACAGACACAACAGGCCCCTAGAGCTGTAGCGCACCGCCGGAAACAGAGCAGACCCACAGACAGAGTCAGCCGTGTCGCCCTGATGCAACAAGAGATTCAACGTCTGCAGGCGACGCCCAAGTTGCTGATACCCCGCCTGCCGTTCTCTCGCCTGGTGCGTGAAATAATCGTGAATTTTACCGGCTCATCTTCGGACTTTAGGGTTACCCAGGGCTCCATGGAGGCCTTGCAGACGGCAGCGGAAATGTACGTTACCCAAAGACTCCAAGACGCCTATCTGCTCACTCTGCATCGTGGTCGAGTGACGCTGGAGGTGCGCGATATGGCGCTAATGGCATTCCTATGCAGCCATGGTCGCTTTAACTAATCACATGCTAAATATGCTAAGCTCTTTGTATTATAAAACAAATGAATTGTGTTATTTTATTCTATATTCGATTTAACTAATCACATGCTAAATATGCTAAGCTCTTGTATAAACAAATGAATTGTTCTTTTATTCTATTACTGTTAAGTGAATAAACATTTTTTGTTAAGCCTTAAATTGAAAGTCGGGTTTAATTTTTATTCTGCAAATAGTTTTATTCGTGTTTTCTTGTTTGCTTTGTGTAATGACTTGTCTTCCTTTTTGTTGTCGCGTCTTGTGCAACGTAGTCCATAATAGTTTCACTATAATGATGTGGCCATCAGGCGGGCACGCACGCCAACGCCAAGCAAAGATACAATAAGTTTTAGCTAGGATGCATTAGGAGTGATCGTGCTTATTTGTTCGCTCTAATATTACGGATTACAGATTAGGATAGTTAATGCGCTTTTTGAAATGAGTCACCATTTAGAATGTTGCGGCACATTAGATACACTAATAGGGAGCTACTGGCTAGCTCGACTCGGAACAGATTCAGGCTGAAAGTAGTCCCTCCTTTGCCAATCGGGTTGTTGGGCGCTTAAACGTAAATTGAGCTTTTGCCTTGCCGAAAATTGTGTTGGTTTGGGCTCAGGTTCGTTCTTCCTATTTTTCTTTTTGGCATTCGTCTTTTACACAACAGTAAAAATACTGCCATCTAGAATCTAGACGTATTACAACTTACACAATTATAGAAAATATATATTTAGCCATATATAATTGATATAATTGTAAACTGTTTCTTAAAACTTAAGAGCAACATTTTTGCTTTGCCTTTTTGCTATCTCGTTCCTAATTCTTCGTTCCTGTTTGGTTTCTTTTTCTTTAAACACTGACTGTAAATTTTGTTGGGTTGCGTTTACACGGTTTGTATTACTTTCTCCTCGCCTCGTTTCCTACTCATTCTCCACATTCTCCTTACTTCTCCTCTATCAGCCAACTCTAACGACATAAAATTATAAAAGGAAACTAATTAATTTAATGGGAAACCGTTGTCCGTTGCGGCTTCGGTTGCAGCCCAGAGCAGAGCCCTTCTTCGACCAGGATTAAGGGCGCTTAATGAGGTTTGCTCTTGTACTTTCGATGCGAAGTGCCGCCATTTTTGTCGGCACTGCTGCCAAGGTTGCTTTGACTGCTGACCGAAGCGGTCGCCGGATGTGGTACACCAGCCTTTGGGTTATAAGGTATCCTGAACAGATTAATGCGCAGATGCTGGCAGATCTCTAGGCACACCTGCGAGCAGTAGCGCAGCAGGTCCTGTGTCCCCCAGATGAGCATGAACCAGAGCAGCCAGATCTCCGGCACAATGCAGTTAAAGTATTGATTGAGGAACAGCAGCGACGGACCGAGTAGCGACCAGTCCAGATATTCCATCTCCGACTTTGTCATGTGTGCAATCTGCAAGAGAACATCAACCATGAAAGGAAATCCAATCTATTAAGTTTCCGCCACTTACCACCAGCTTGTTGGTTATTTTGGCTGCCACCATTCCAAAGGCCATTATGTACACAGATGCATGCTCGGTGAATAGGTTCTCCGGCGATTTCTGGGCAATAATCAGAGCTGGTAGCACCACCAGCGTAAGCGGTATGCTGGGGGAGAGTACACTGGTGCCCTAAAGCGTGGTACAAATTGGTTTCAATTAGTTTTCGAACATCGATTTGCTGCAATCTTGCAACTTGCGACGTTTGCCACACACGAGTCTCTTCATCACAGGACAGGTACAGTTGTGTACACAATTATTACGATTTGTGTGTAAAACGGCACATTTTGCAAATATCACAACAATTTTCAGTGCAAGGAAAGAGAACAAAAATTCTTTTGGCTTTTTGTGGAGTTTAGCATTTTCCCCTCCGCAGAAATAAAGGAATTACGATCATACAGCGGGAGGGGAAATTGCTCCTGTGGTGTTTTGATTGTTTAATACTTGTTTTATTTACATGGTCTAGCGCTAGTTGGCGGTTGTGTGGGTGGGTGGGTTGGTGGGCGGGATTTGTGGGTGTGTTTCAGAAGCGTGCGTTAGTATAGAAACCATTTTATACCAACGAAAACAATAACGTTACATTCCAGGCCAAACCGACACCAGAAAGAGGCATAAAAACAACTTAAACTAAGTAAATCACAGACAAATAGTGGGCAACAAGTATCCGTTCAGATAAGATATGCCCAGACACATATTGCAAACTATTATCGTACTAGATTGATAGCAAACACAAGACACACACAAGATACTTAGACTAATTAAATATACTCAGATCTCCACTGTTCTACTGTGGTTCTACGGATACCGATCTGCAGTGCGTTCAGAAACTACAAGCCGGGAACTTTGGCTGTCTTTCCCTTTCTGTAGTTGCGGAACACACCGGTCCAGTACTAGTGTTGACAGGCATGGCCATGGGCATGTGTCTCGGTGTCAATTTACTCTAAGAAGCGTAAACATAAAATTCTTACAGCAACCGTTGATCCATTCTTGCCACAGCCCAGGGTCAAAATGCATTTTGCGCAGCGCACGGTCAAGAGCAAATCTATCCCACAGGCCAGATACAGTGGCAGAATACGCATTTCACAGTCGAAGCCCGGTAGCTGCCAATTTCAAAATGTATGGGATATATTTGTTGTTTTTTTTTGTTTTTTGTTTTGCGTAATGATGATTGATTACGTGAGGAAGAGAAAAAGTGGCGCGCATTAGGTTTTGACTTTAAATTATGATAAAATAAACATTATTTTCCAGAAGTCTTTTGAGAATACAAATTGAATAAAAAAACTATATAAAAAAAAAACAAATAAAAAAAAATTGTAAGCTTTCTCCTAAGCTTTAGATCTCTATAAATACTGTACATCGAGATGAGCAATAAGTATACATTCATATTTCCTTGATCGGTGCAAAACATAGTGATAATCCTACAATACCTCAAAAACTAAGAAATAACAGAAATAAAAAATACTAAAATGATGTATTTTGGAAACTATTTGTACCCAAGCCAACAGCATGCTAAATATGGCATCGCATCCAATGATAAAACCATGACATGTTAATCGATATGAGGAGAAAGAATAATGTTAGCTGTCGATCGGGGTAGCCCTCCACCGATCGGCCTGTAGTCCAAGCCCAAGTCAAAGGAAAATGCTGAATGGAAGGGTACGGTTAGTAGTATTTAAACCAAACACAGGCCAATGTAGGAATTCGATTTAGATAGATGTCATTTTTGTTTTGTTATGGCTGTGAGAACTTTCCAGTTTAGTAGTAGTAGTATTTTTTGGAGATAGTTTTAGGGATAGTTTAATTGTTCGTCTCCCTTTGTATGGAGAGGGAGAGGGTGCAATGCTTACAGCAACTGAGGAGCCGTTTTTGCCAATGCCGCCTTGAGTAAACATTTTTAGGAAATTGATTATATTCAAGGTATAACCGAATGTAATAAATACTAATATTGTGTAATTCCATGAAACGCCCACGATTGGTATCTAGTAAAGATGAAAGATTGCAAGAAAACATAATAAAGTTTAGAGGATTCGTCAACTGCATTCAAAGGATGAGTATAAAATTTGGAAAAAAATGTTGGTTAGGGAAAAAAAACGTTGTCGCAGAGTGCTCACAGCCGCCAGTTGCACGTGACTGTGACTGGGACTGTGAATACCCTCCGCCTGGCTTACAAACTACGCTTAAGGAGAATAAATATAGAAAATATAATTATATAGTTTAGATTGTAGATTTAGACCGGTGTTGTTGTTAAGGGTAGGAGTATATCCAAAACCAAGACAGAAAGTATATAGGAGGACTATAAAGACAATATATGTATCAGAGCTGGACAGATGGACAGGGCAAACACATGTACATTAATTTTGTTTAAACAAACAAGGAAACAATAATAGTTCCGAGAGTTCAAGTGGTTGTAATTTTGTGGTATTCAAGGCATGCTCACGTATAGATTTTCGAATATATATCACAATTTGGTATCATTAATTTGAAGCGCAAGGCAGGATTTGCAGCCGCATCGTCGATAAACCAAAGTACACAATAACAAAAAAAATAACAACAGCACAAAATTGGGTTGGGTAGGGTGGGTAGGGTAGGCAAGCAATTTAAGGAAACAGATATCGGGGTTTGGTTGGGGGGATTCAGAAAGGACCTCACGCCACGCACCTTCTTCCAGACTGGGCTGGGCCGCCTGCCAGCAGCTATATTGTATATATATATATATAGTATATAGAAAGAGGGCAACGGAACCCTTCGAGAGTGGGTTTGGGTCACAATCAGATCAGATCAATTCAGAGAAGCCAAAATAGTTTTTGTTGTGTTTGAATATGTGCGTGCAGTAGTGTTGGGCAACGTCGTTCTTTAAGTTCAAAATGAAATGAAATTTTAATTTGTATTGAACGAGAAAGGAACATAAAAGAACGATCACTAGTTATTTTTTTTTAGTTTTTTACCCAACACTAATGCGTATGTGCTTTTAGTAGTAGTAGTAATAGTGTTCGTTTGTGTGTGTGTGTGTGTGTGTCAAGACTTACAGCAACTGTGGAGCCATTCTTGCCAACACCACCGGCTTTAATGACGGAAAATACATAAGTTAGGGAGAGCAGACCGCACACAATGGTCGTTATGGCCGGACCATACCAAAGCTGAATGTCGCCAATGCCGATCTGCATATGCATTTAGGTATGGTTATACATGTGTTATACGTGTGTGTTTGTGTATGTTGTTGTTTTGTTGGCGAATTGGAGTTTGGTTTTAGAGAGCGCGGAGGGCAGAGCACACGCATTATGTACATAGAAGTAAAAGTGGTTAGACGATTACAAATACTGGATATGGTTTGGTTGCTTATGTAACTGGGCGCCTAATAGCTCGAGATATAGTCATACATATGTATATACAATACGTATTGATGTGGAGAGAGTTGTGTTTGGTCCCGGCTCCAATCCCCAGACTTTATCTTCATGCCAGGCAAATGGTAAATGAAAAATAATAAATTAACAGATGCTAAACTTTCAATCAAATCAAAGCGCCAGCATCAACAACACAAAATCTGAACCATAACGCTCACAACTCGACTAAAACAGAACTTAATGCGGCATTAGTGGCAACGGATCAGCAGCTTAAGCTCCGCTGCAGCGACAGCAACTTGAACTATAAACTCTATGCTAAATGGATAGAATATACATAGTCTTAACGATCTAAATATAAAAAGGAAACAAAAAAAGAAACTAAAAAGAAACGCAAAGAACTTCCGGAATGGAGAATGCTTTAAAACGAAATTGGAGTATCATTAAACGGGCTTTAAGCCCGTCCACGGCCTGTGCGTTCCCACGCCTACCTTGGTTAGCCAGAACTCAGGACCCAGTATCGCCGACACTAGATGAATGGCTATAATCGAGAACTGTGCCTCCGTCACGTCGATGCGTCCGAAGCGCATCGTTCCAGACACATATGTCTGCCAGTGGGCGCAGTAGAACAAGGCAATGGCACAGAAGCACTGAAAGAAAGCGAACAACGAGAATGTATCCTTTTTGGTTCTGGATCTACTCTACTCACCTGAAAGAAGAGCCAATTGGGATAGTGCCCCAGTTGGCAGGAGATACAGGCCGAGAGCGCCACGAACACAGTCGATATCGAGTCACAGCCATGATCAAACAGCTCTCCCAGCGGCGATGATGTGTTCGTGCGACGCGCCTGTTTGCCGTCAATCGAGTCCAGGCTCTGGTAGACAAACAGTCCCAGGGCGCACAGCGCACAGGTCCAACGTGGTGGGGCTTCAACGCCATTTGGACTGTAGCTGTAACGGGAGATACAATTAATAGAATATTAGTTATGGACGAGTGATCTCTGGTCAGCTTCTAGAGTGCCCATAGAAGCGGGAATAAAACTAAAATAAGGTTTACCCAGGCCCCTCACCGACCGATCCGACCGACCCAACCTATCCCCTGGTCGGTAAATTAAACACTGACGTCAGTCAGCATAAAGTCGCCTGATGGTCAAAGTTCTGTTCTCGAGCTAAACTTTATAATTATCAATCAGGTTGGAAATAGAATAAAATCACTTTTTCGCTGTTGCGGCTGTTGATGAACGATAAGCAATCTCCCTACCCCTCCCCCCGGTCCACGGTATGTCCATCCAATCAGCTGATTTTGTGGTTCCGGCTCGACATTTTCGGTAGACAGCTTACTCACCAACGAGAGAGTGGGAAATTCTATTTTAAAGAGAGTCCCACTGACCCCAAGCTGGCTGAGAAGCATCACGGCTTGCTCCACTGGTGTGTTAAAACAAATACAAATAGTACCAGCGAAACTAGAATATAAAATACATACATACAAAGAAGTGCAAATAGAACCGGCCTGTTCGCTGTCTGTTCGAGAGCTTTTGTGAATGAACATCCAGATATCTATATACATACTCGTTCGTTATATATACATATATCTTTTCGGGTTAAAAATAACAGAGGCAAACACGTGAGGCGCAGCCATTAAGATGATTCATATGCAGTCTTTGGGGTTGGGAAAAGGTGGGTGGGCATTGTGTATATAATCAAAGTGGGTTACAGTTGATATAAAGTGCATTCAAACAGCACTTTTAAATCGCTAAAAATCTCCCATAAATCACCACTTAAAAGTGACTTTTGCCACTTAGTCTGTTAAATATAATATGGCCCTTTAATTAGCAATCAAATGTTATATTTTGCAGCCAATTAGGGGTTTGCTTTTTGTTCATCAAAGCATCGCAATACAAGGAAAGTATTAGCTTGGAGGTCAAGTTCCCAAGGGAATAGATTTTTTCTGTGAAAGTAGATGTACAGTTACAAAATTCTCATATTTTGGCAACGAAAAATCAGCCAGAATCGTCCCATACTTCCCTAGAAATTAGTATGTGTATGTGTTGTACCTTCCCACCTATAAAAATCAATTAGAAATGCAAATGTTCATTCTAATTCAATCAGAGACGCAAAAAGAATTCCAATTGAATATGGTAAACAATTGGGGAAAATGGAAATGCTCTGCCCTCTGGGGTTAACTCAACCGAACTTTGGCCTCCCGCGGGTGGTTCCCGCTTCCCACTGGCAATTTATTTCGTGTTCCTCTGCTCAGGTGCTTTCAGTGCCTTCGTTCCTTTTGGTTCCTCTGTCGTTTGTGCGATCCGGCGATTAGTGTGCCTTTGTTTATTTGCTTATCGTTTGATGTCGCCTTTTTCTGTGACGGCCTCAGCCTCAGCCCCAAAGAAATGCGCCGAGCCGACGACAAGTTGAGAAATTATTGTTGAGATTACTTTACTTATATATTTTGCTATATTTCGCGCAATTTGTACATGCATATATGTGTAATGGGGCAAAATGGCGAGACGCCTTTGCTATCTTATCTGTGGCATAGTTTATGCCCGACTACGTGTGTGTGGGGGGTTCTCCCTCTCTCTCTCTCTATCCGTCGCCACTTATAATGGTTATGGTACTCGTAGTTATGACACGAAATGATATGGTATCGCTTGAGGCATTATGAAATGACGAATGCTGAAAGCGTGTAACCAATCCTTGTGGTACACCAACTAATAATTTGATCGCAACTGTAGATCCTAGATGACAGTGCTGTCAAGTTTCCGAGAAAGATTGATGGCAGCAGCTGATGACCAGGCCCAAAGGATTAGAACAAGTGCAAGAATGCGAGTGCCAATGGAAAATTACTTAGGTGGGGAAGTGTGCCAAGAAAAAATCATTTGGTCTCTCTCTAAACGAAATTGAAATGAAAAGACGGCAGCAAGAATACACACACACACAAACAACATTCAAGAGCCAAGGCAAATGCAAGAACATGAAAAACTTGCAATTTTTGAGGGTCAACATGTCAGTGTTAGTGTGTGTATGTCTGTGTGTTGCAAAACGTGCACTTTCAACAAAACATACACATACATATGCACGTACGTACATTCGTATGCATTTCATGCACGTACACCGGTAAAAACTGTTTGAATCTCGTAACGACTTACCAAATTAATATCAATGTTGTCACAATATTGAGGATGAGACCGACGATTGTAATTAGATTCGGTGCCAGCCAAAGTGGTGTTTGGCTAACCAGCCAGTTCCACCATGGCTGCAGCAAAGGATCCAGAAGGCTTGCGCTGAAACATGAGTATTTGTGTTCGCTGAGCTTTCGCAGCTGCTGGGCGCTGAGAATGTGACTTTCCTTGTAGACAAGTAGCGGCATTTTTACTTTCTATTGAGTGCGGCGGGTGGTGGAGTGTGTGGCTGAGCGTAAGGGTGGGATGATAACACTTCAGATTTCGTGAAACTTTCCGCAGGCGCTTTTCACTTTCCGCGCATTTGTATACGTGTATATGTCGTATGACTCGAAGCTATCTGTGGGCCTAGGGGTTTTCTTTTCAGCGCCTATTTTTTCACGTGTGTCAAACACAGCACAGAAACTTCTTATCACTTGAGCCCACCGAGACTCGTTTTGTGGCTATTTAGAAATACGTGCTCCTTGCGTGCACATACACGTATTATGTGCGTATTATGCACATTCACAATGTATTTAAATTAATTTAATTTGACGAGCACCCGCTACCCCACTTCCAGTGTCAACGCGAATTTTTGAAATACGGTCCTCAGAAATATAACAAAATATACCGTCTCGTTTTCAAAATATACCGTAAGTATACCGATGAAAAACAAACTTAACCCACTTAAGCCCCCTCTATTTAAGTATTTCAACTGCTTGAGGTAAATGGCGGAAAATATTAACGATTGTTAATTCTTCTTGTGGATCCATGCCATCTTTCCTCTGAACTTAAAAATCACAGCGCTAACTTTCATCTGAACTGCGCTAAAATTATTCTCTTTTTATTATTGTCGGTGGAAAATTGAGATACCCCTTTGGCTTGTAATACAAAGGTTTTAGCGAAATTGGTCAAACAAAAAAAGGTTTTTAGCGAAATAGGTCAAGACTAAAAAACGAAAGAGGATAGTCATATTGCTTAGTTTAGAGATTCCGTTGAATAATTCGTCCCACATAATTTATAGTTCAACAAAAAAAATGTCGCAATGTTGCTGGTTTTTGAAGACTTGTTGCGTGTATAGCCTTTGTATACCCTATTTTCATCATTTTATATGAAAACAATGTTTTCCAAACTCCTTTTAAAACGTAATTAATAAATAAATTTTCCCAAATTGATTTGTTTCAGACATATATATCTCTCTCCTGATACCTATTCTTGGTCTCTGTAGGAATACAATAAACTGCAAAATATCGTTGAAATAGGTTTAAAACAGAGACTAAATTTTTTTTGCCTTCTTTGGAGCTTGGGATGACAAACATTTTCTCAATTCTATAACATCCATTTCCCCCAGGATAATTAATGTTGCATGGAATTAGCAACATGTTTGCATGTGGAATGGGACTCATTGTTGCCTACCGGTTCAAAGAGAGCGTTTAACCGACTCAGAGAGAGCGAAAAAGAATTTAAGGGCTTTTTAATTTATGTTTAATTTTTTAATGTTTAATTTAAAGGAAAGAATTTAATACCAATTCGAGTAAATGATGCACGGAAGTACGATTTTAGAAGTTTCTATACCCTGTTTTCTTACATATACCTTTTAAAATTAAATTTAGTAGATTTATTTCCGATAAAGTAACGCCAAATAACGTCAAACGCGTGAATGATATGTTTTTGATAAACGATGCTAACTATCAAAATACATCGATATATACTATTTTGTTGTTTTGGACTGGTATTTTTGTCTAATAAACTGAACTTTTCGGCGTTTTTTTTTTTGAGAAAAACAATATTATAGCCTGTGATTATTATTTTAAAACATATTTTAGCACTTATTACTTGTCTATCGGCTTCAGCTAAAACCAATATCCACTAATTAATTATTTTTTCCAATCTGCTTTGAAGCCCAGTTAATAAAGACATTTTCTCAGTTCGACATGTTCTTTATCTATTAATGAGTTTAATTAGATTCCTGTATATATATATGCATCTCGATCCCTTTGCATATTCTCGGCCTCTATAGAAAACCATGAAACTGCAAGTATGGACTAGACTAGACTAGAGACTCTCGCCACCATGTTGTACTGGTCAAATATCGTTATCGAGCCGACTGCAAAAATTCAAGATTGACAACTCTACACGTGCAGATTTTGCTGCTGGCAGTGCCGCTATGGACGTCGCTGTTGAGCGCGATAAAAGTAACAAATTTGAATTTAAATTTATAGTTTTTATTATATAAATCAGTTACCGCTTAGACTAATTCCTCAACTTAACATATTCGGTTTTTAATTATATCTAAACCTTGTTGTTTGCGGCTGTTCTGGTTCTCTGAGCCGAGAAATTTTTGCAAAATGCCGGCCAAATATGCTCAAAAAGTACAAAAAACCATTCAATTGTTTCCTCTGCTTATATAAACTATGGCCCATCATCAAAAACAATTACTGATGTGTTATTTCTTCCATGAGGCATTAGTTTTTTGGATATTAGGAAAATGTATACGTGTAGGTAAAAAATAGGCTTAAAGTGTTCTGTTTTCGTTTGTTTTAAATTACTTATATTGGCAACTCTCATTACATTTCATTTCATTTGTTTATGCATATATAGTTATGTAGTCAAATAATGCTCAAGTAAGACTATCCATTCTGTATCGTCGGCAAATGATGACAAATAAGCATACACAGGACTCAACCCATTCCATTCCATTTTATAAATACAATAGTTTTATGTAATAATTTATAGCACAATGTAATATAGCAAGCAGTTTCAAACTTTTTACACATGTCACACATTTTTCGCTTCCATTTTCACAATTGGTTTAAACATATAATCGAGAAAACACAGGCAGCATGTAGCAGGCAGCAGACTGACTTCCAAAAGCAAAAAATAATCGAAAATTTCGCAATTTGGAAATGGGGGAAACAAAATTGCACACAATTCAGAGTGTTAATGTCAGTTTTAAAAGCCGCGAGAAGTGCATGTGTGCTGCCGGTGGCTTACATAATATATAATATCGTTCGATTTGCATTATGAATGTATATACGATCGTGTGTGTGTGTATATCGTATGTATATAGTAACCAGCGATGCAAAAATTAATTTAATTTACTTGGTAATCATTTACGATAATATAATATAAATGTTGTTTTAGTTGTCTTCAGTTTTGTTGAGACATTTAGGCAAAAGTTTGTTTCTTTTCATAGTGAATATTTTTTGTTTTGTTTTCTATAAATTTGTTAAGCAATAGTTTGGGTTTGTTGGTAATTTGTTATATCATAATTAATTAAAGTGTTTTGCTCTCTTCTACCTCCTTCTCCTCCTCCTCCCTAAGGAGCTGCACACTCGCTTCGAAGCACAGGACACAAATATTCCTCTCTATCGATCTTATGTTATATGTATATAGTATAATATTTATATCAAAAATCGGTTCGTTTACAATAATAATAGTGCCATCGTCATCATCATGTTCGTGTTGTTATTGTATGCATGAATGTGTCTCTTCTGCAAATATATATTCGTATGTGCATATCGTTGCGGTCCAAGTGTTGGCACTCCACTCTCTCCTTATGTGTGTGAAACTCTTTACTTATTAGGTTTTGGGTCTGGTCTGGGACTATGAACTAACGTCTTAGGCTCGCTCTTTCACCTTGGACGCACCTCTATATACACATACACATATATATATGTCTATATATATTTAGTTTTAGATGTAGTAAATGGATGCTTAGGGGCTTTAATTATACATACTACTATTGTGTGATTTTCTTGTTCTCATTTTCTGCTATGTTTGTAGTATCAAAAAACGTCAAAATGTAAAAAATGCATTCGGCTTATACATATGTATGTATGCTTAGAGTTTCGTATACTCGTATGTATATACGCGATCTACGAGTTCGATCCAACCATCCATCCCCTTGCTTGTATATAAATATTTAAAAATTTGTGTTTAGTAATCTGTTGTGGTTGTTGTTGTTTTTGCTTCTTCTGTGTTTCTGTGGGGAGTAGGGTGCGTGTGTCCTTTAGATATTTATCTTATTATGAATGATATGGCGTCACATAAGTGGCTGGGAAGATTCCTTTCCTGTTGCCAATCTCGCCGTTCCACCAGTTCTCGTCGGATCGGTCTGTGACGGTGATGACATCGCCGCGTCTGAAGTCCAATTCTCCGGATTCCTGTGGCACAAAGTCGTACAGCGCCTGCACGAGCATCTGCAACATAAAATATAATATGATTTTTGTTTCTTTTCTTGGCATCATTATTTTGTTTATAGTTTTTTCGGTCGTGCACAACAGTGGGAGCAGTGGGCAGTGGCCAGTGGGCGGCGGCCAAAAGCATGACCTCAATGTGTTGTGCGTAATTTTTATTTATAAAACAAATCTGTCTGCGCCACATGTCGGATCCGATGGTGGGAGGGGGGGGCACACCCTTACCTCTTCAGGTATCATATCTCGCAATTTGACCTCCTGTGATCGTGACACGCTCGCCGTCCGATGGTATTCCACCAGCTCGTTGAGGGAGTTGAATTTTACCACCCAGAGGAAGAACTTGCTTTGCGCATCGCGCAGAACTTTAAAATGCTGCACACCATCGGGACATCTGAAATGAGGAACGGGAATGGTAAAGGTAAAGGCAAGGCACAGGCCCTCAAGCGACTCACTTGACTGAAAGGGAGAAATCGCCGGGACTGGATTCGCTGATGCGTATCAAGAAGGCACCTTCATGTTTGTTCGATAGCAGCTTCTCGGCATCGGCGCGCGTGATGCGTCCATAGTACCAGCTGTGGGATAAATGATATATAATCAGCTATAGATCGGAGTAAATGGCAGGTTTAATACTTACTCGTGATTTTTCATTTCTATGTAATTGCTGGGTATGAGACCTTCTTTGCCATCCAATTCGGCACGATACCAATTTGAATCGTCCTCCATGTTTAGTATCTACAAAAAGGACATACAGTTTTTAGTTGTCAGCTTATCCAGAGAACCCCCTAAGCGTTAACCGCAGATAAATAGATGGTATCCGATGCCCATGGTATGGAAAACAATTGAACAATTCCTTTGAATTGCCGGAGATTCGAGAATGTTCCCAATTCTCTGGTTCTGGGAGCATATTCGATAAGCAATTTTCAATTGCTCGCTCATTGAACCGCAAAAACTGTGTCACTGTGTAATCAGGAAGCAGCAGTAGCAGCAGGGCTGCAGCAGAGATGGGAGACACATTTGTATTATCTGTTATTCTCATATCTCTCGGGCTTCGGGCGCTAAAAAAGCCCACAAAACGGTTGACATGTGATAAGAATGTTAAGTGAAACGCCGCAAGTGGGCCACAGCGGAGCGAGTACGTGAATTTCACTTTTAAGCCTCCTAATAGATACATTTTTTAGCCAGCCAGCCAGCCAGCAAGCCAGCTAGTAGTGTTTGTCGTCGCTTGCCCATTTCGCATGCCAATGACACAACATAACACAGCTCCCAGGCCAGCAGCCAGCGCCAACGTAATCGCCTCTCAGCCGGCACGGTCCCGGGCACTGGCACTGGCTCGGGCACCTCTTAAGATTCCATTCAATTGGCAAAGCAAATTGAATTTGTGTATGTTTGCATCTGCTGGCTTTTGGGGAAATCCAATACTTTTCAAGGCGCTGGCTGAAGCTGGGCCAAGCTCATTCCATGAATGAAGGCAGTCAGACAGTCCGACAGTCGTTGATCTGATATATGTATTGCCCACAGAAAATGCCATTCATATATTCGATTTTCAAAACAGATTTCCTCCGATTGGGACAAACCCTCATACGTATAATACCTAAAATATTGTATGGATCGGCAGGTGGCATTCGGTGGGTTTGAAATAATGGAATGGCTTTCATGTGACTCAGCCAGACTCGCCCCCCTCTAACACTTTTTACACCCTACCAATGCAGTATTTCGTGATCATGGATAGGGGTGATAAGCAGGGAATATAGGATCATAATCTCCTATAAACAGATAAATGGAAGACGGGCTAGAGGGGTTTTTATTTGCACCTCAAATTGTGACACGACGCCTACGGGAGTATTCCACAGGGTTATGTAAAACTCATTTATTGTTTTTTTTTTTTTTGCTGTGGGAATGGCAGTGGGAGAGCTATTGCTCGCTCAGCTGGATCTATTCTCACTAATTGGCATACCTCTCTCTCGCTCCCTCTCTCTCTTGCTCACTCTATGGCTCTAATCGCCTGGCCCTCGGATACAACCCTCCGAAACCCTCCTCTATAACCAGGCCCGCCCGCATCTGTCACCCCAGACATTGTTTATCGTATATATTTTTATTTATTTTTAGCCTATTTTCATTCATTGAACGACATCGACAACGAGAAATTCGTATTCGTAGTCGAATCGGAGGCAAACAATTCCACGGATTCCGCTCCGTTGTCGACCAAGGAATGCCCCCAGTCCCCAGTCGACAATAAATAAATATGGTACAGCGATCTTCGAGAGCTGGCACGTACCCTCCGTGCGATTGGCTTTATCAGTTTGTTCATAACTTGTATGTAATTACTGGAAAACTGGCATGAGTGCTGGGGCTATGTGCTATTTGTTTTTCTGTGGCATTTGTGGGGATACGATACTGTCACACGCCGAAACGAACGTTCGGTTCGGTTTGGTTTGTGTTCTTTTTGGTGGGGATGACGCTTGACGAACCGAAAGTCAAGCGAAAGTGTACAATAGTATTTCGTGCTATTGTCATGATAGAATATTTGTAGTTCTACTGTAGGTTTCCCTCGTCTGAGGATGGCAGGGTAGAGTTTGACTTAGCTTAAGCGAATTATTGGATATCTGTTGAAATATGCATTTCAGAGATGTTGTAGCACTTTCCATCAAGAAACCAGTTTGAGAGTTTTTCTGGAATACGAATGAATCATGGGGTTCCAAGAACATGAGCATGTGTGTGTACTTATGTATGTATGTACATATATGGGGGTCGGATCTTAGCTTTGTCTAGATAAGGTGGCCCCGCGTATGACTAACCAGAGGCAAATGTTCGAACTGATATCTCCGCCATCCGTCAATCCACAATCCACATTCTCCGTGGATCTCGCTGTAGCCCTAGCAGCCAGTATCAGTTGTTTACTTTACCGACCGATAGGCCCATGGGGACCAATGGGAGAGAAAGAGCAATGCACACACTTGACCTTCTTGCGAGTGATAAGCAATTGATGAGCCTTCGCCTTCTTCCCGAGTCATTGACATCATCAATCAGCGGACATTGTGCGGGCAAATGCAAAAGAGAGAAAAACCTGCCTGTCCTGTGTCCCTGCTGTGACTAACCTACGACAAGTTCGACACAGCACTCCAGAGCCAGCAGCCGCAAAAAGTGAGCTTGCAACAAGCGGCATGGCCTGGCCTGCCCTGCCCTGGCAACAAGAAACCGGAAAATTCAGCCAGCCAGGCCAAAACAAAGGGTCTAGCACGGAACACGGCAAACACCTGGAAGGGTGAGCAGCGAGTAAGAGAGAGAGAGAGAGAAATGAGAAAGAAACCAGGCTCGCACGAGTATAGACGGAATTTGGCTGGTTTTCACAGCCAAAGTTGGCGCGCGGGTGAGGCGATTTATATGTACTACACTCTGAACGGAATCAGGGAACATTTGCTGGTTTATGCATCGCAAGGCAAAACTAGTTGCGAGGCTACACACACACACACATACACTTATACTCTCAGACACACACACAGGTATAGCGTTTAAGCATCGATGGAGTCACATTGTAGAATCCCTATTTGTTGCACACAACATTTGCTCCCCTACTTTGTCGCTCCCACCTGGTTGGGATTCGATTTCAGACTCTGTCTGGGGGCTTAGGATGTGGGTTAAAGCAACGAACGACCTGTGGTGAAGCAGATGCAATGCAATCCGTGCAGGATTCCCACACTCGACTCACCTTTAGGATTTGAGTTTTGCGAAAACTAAGCTCATCGTCGGCCGTCGCGGAGAAATCGTGTTTGGCAACTGCTTCCATGTTTTTTATTGTTGTTGCTCCGTGCGTAATGAATAGCGCGTAGTTTTGTGTTTGTCGCCTTTTAGTTAGTCACTTGCTCTGTTTTTTGTGTTGTTTTATCAGCCTTGAATGCACCACACTCACACACGCGCACAGCATACATACATATGTATGAGAGGGTTTCTTTCGTATTTTCCAGCTCTGTTGAGATTAAAATAGTGCTCTTATTACTTTGATTTCCATTTTATTATATAAACAATAACTCATATATTTGATTGCGCGTTGTGTGTAGTTCCCCTCTCTTCTCCTTTCTTTAATATTCTTGGGCGAGAAAAGCGATTAAAAATACACCGACAACCGACAAGGCAGGCAGAGCGAGAATTGACAGGCGGCAGCGGCAGCGGCGGACCGACACCGACAGAGAGGGGAGTGTGTGCGTGCGTGAGCGAGCAAGCGCAGCGTTGCCAGCAGCATTTATTTAGCTAACTTAACCGATGTCATCGGAAATTCACGGAAAAGCAGGTAGGACAAAAGCAATTAAGCATTGGCTTTCCATGCAGCAGAATCAGGGTAAGCCTTGGGGTTTCAAACCGATTGAATGTATGTGGTTTTAACAGGAATTTAATTTTACAAAGTAGGGCGTGTGTTCTTGCTGCTGGCAATGCTCTTGCCGTGACGTTGTTGTTTGTTTTAGTTTTTTTAACCCCAATAAACACACGCACACACTTGTATTTATTCGGCGAATTTCGTTGGGTGTCTACTGCATTTATTAATGCATATTCCAGGATCTGTCGCAGCTGTCTAAAGACGTATTCTCTTTCTCCACACTTGACACACACTTGATATAGTTTAATGCTTATTTTTGCTTACTTTTATTATTCACTTTTATTTTCATACGTGCAATGGTAAACAGACACTCAGAAATATACCGAAACTACGTCACAAATTTCAAAATATGCCGAAAATATACTGACGAATTATTTGTATTCAAGCTGCATCAAATATCTTTCGGTTGAATATTTTTAACCGATAATCTAATCAATTTTATATAAAAGTGGATAATTTTAAGTACCATCATTATTGGCATTGTTTATATAATAATTTCTACTTTAAGTTAATTTCTTTACATGGTAGCTACCCATTTGCTACAAATTAAATTCATTTTTATAAAGGGGGAAATGTGTACTTTTCAAAAATGTTGGCCCGGTTTTTTCTATATAAGCCCCATGGAAGCGCCAGTGTGAAAAACCCCCGTTATGTATATTTTTCCATTCCTTTTTTTTATATTTTTGAAAACATTGAGATTTTGATGGCAAGTGATCAAGATTTCGATGATTTTCCGCATTAATAATCGATGTGGCTCTAAATTGCATTTCTACACGACTTCTACATTGGGGCATTGGCCGAGAGGGTGAGTGCATAACCTTAATATACTGGAAAATACTATGGAAAGTATTTTTAAAATTTGGCAAGGTGTGTGAGCCAGACATTGAGGCAAGAAAATTAGTGTACTAAGTGACTTGGCGATCAAATATACGGTTTGAACCTCAGAAATATACCACATATACCCACTTAAGACCCCTCTATTTAAACAGTCATTGTAGAAACCTCCTATCCCTTCTTTTAACTCACAAAAAAAAACCCACTCTATCCACGATTTTCACTATTTTCGGTGCAATATTAAAATACCCCTTTGGCATACAATGGGCTAATCGTTTTGTGATTTGATATTATTAGCTAGCTAGGACTTCATAGCTGAACATGAATTTTATCCGATTGATAGATTATTTTTCTAAAATATTAGCCAACTTTAGCTAATCATTCCTATTGGATTTATTTAGAATTTTGACGAGTTTTCAAAGTGAACATTTTTAAAAATATACCGCTAAAAATTATTATGTGAAAAAAGCACTGCCTTTAAAAAAACTGCATACAAAATACCAGATTACAACAATTTTTGAATGAACTAAACATAAAAACCATTAAAACATTGTTCAAGAAATTTAAAGTCCCCAATCTATCAAAAAAAGTTGCCTTGCCAGGTATAAAAGAGGTAAATATTATTATTATTAGTATTATTTTCCGCGGTCTAACTCGAGTTGTTAACCAGTTTAAGTAAAGGGGGCTTAAGTGGGCTAAGTTCGTTTTTTCATCGGTATGGCACACTGAAAAGGCGCCATTCTTAAGTAGCGTCCCTACATTTTTTTTAAACTCCTAAATAATTACTGCTCGACGTCATAATGCAGCGCCACAAGGAATTATATAAACAGCAATCACTTGCTTTTAGCCCACACAATTTCAATGAGCAGAACCGGGAACTCCAGAAAGCGGCGCGTGCAAAACAACGCGAGGATCGTTTTCAAAGCAACCGCATTATTAGTGTTAGTCCAACTCCCGTCAAGCGTGAGGCACCTATTCAGCCCTCAGAGGAGGCGCAGCCACGCCTTACCTATGTCGCTCCTCCTAAGGAGAATCAAAAACCAGAGCTGCCTCAGCAGCAGAAGAACCCCACCCGGCAAGACCTTTACTTAAAGCGCTTCCTGGAGTGGAAGGCAGCCAGGAAGGAAAAAACAAAGAACGAGCAAATTGCTCGTCGTGGTCAAATGATGCCACCGGCGCCTTTGCAGAATTCTACGTTCACATATAAAGCCGAAACACTTAAACCTGCGGCAAACCCCCAGAAAGAGCAGAAGAACGATCCGGCATTTGTGCCGCCAAAAAGGCAGTCCTTATATGTTTTGGTAAATAAAACTCAGCGTACGCAGACGGCAGCGGAGAGGAAACAGCCTTTGGCAACCCAATTGCGTACCCAGGGTCAGCCATCCAGATTGCGCGCTCAGCCTGCGGCAACCATGGCAAAGCTGCAACATGAAACGTCGCGTCCTCAACCGGTCACAGTGAAGACCCAAACATCAAACATGAAACATCAAACATCAGCAAGGAATGTCCAGCCAACCACAGTCAAGCCAGCACCTTCACGTACATTGTCCTTGAAGCCTACAGCAGGCCCAAAGCCCAAGGTAGCAGATTTGGCCGTTGGACCTTCTGCAAATGGGGTTGTTCATTTGCCAAATGTGAGGACGCAACCATTCGAAAAGCCGGCCTTGAGTAAGCCCACCTTAAAAATACCAGCAGTGAAACCAAAGCCCATTCAAGGAGTCGGCGGAGGGGGAGCTGCGGGAAAATTTAAGTCGACCGCAGTAGCAAAAGGGCCGGCAATAAAAAACAAGCTTGCCAGCCAATTTTCGACCAGAATGAAGGCCAAGAGCAACGTCAGCAAGTACGTAGGTCTTCAAAAGAATGTTCGAAATCGGCCGGAGTTGATGAGAGAGTTGGTTGAGGCTGGGAACACTGAACTCCCACTGCCTCCCAATACGCCGCTGGAAGAGAAGATAAGTTGCCCTGCTCTGGCCACATCCACGCAATGCAAGTCGATCAATTGCAGTCAAGAAATGATAGAAGCCTTGGGTGAGATTTCAAATCTGAGTCCAGTGGCTCCAATGAGCAGCCACCGAGATTCGAAAGCGAAGCGGAAATTTGACTTTTCTAGGTACTCTTTGATAAAAACGGCAGCTGAAGAGAGTTTGATCTTGGATCCATATCTGGCTAAGGGTAAGTACAACAGGAATAAAATGGAGTAAAATTTAATATTATTGGTTTCCAGATCCAGATGATAAAGAGCAAGAAAATTATACTCTGAAGCCAGGTGCGGAGCAAACCCCTCCTCGCAGGATTTCCGATGAGAAGCCTAACTACTTAAGTCCGTATGTGAGCGTCTCGCGCGGTAAAGTCAACTCTCGCTGTGAACGTGAGAAGCGAAACAGCATGTATTTGCCCGGTGAGGAGACTCCTGTTGCCAATCGGCGGGCCCTCGAGTCAGTGCTCTACTTTCGCATACAGCTGGAGAATGAGATTCGACGACTGCGAGATATCTGCAGCGAGTGGGAAGCCTATAGCAAGGAGAATGAGGCGCATCTGGTTGAGACGGGCGGCATAGATATGATCAATGTGGCCATTGGACAGACAAATTTGCTTTCTACCAAGAAAATGATGCAGTTCAGCGGTCTGATTGACCGTTGCGAGGCGGGAGCTACGGGCAAGAACCATCGACCCTACGATGGTAGCGAGGAGACGAAACCCGTCCAGGCAGAGGATCTGGAAGGGTGGTGGGACATGCTGCGACTCCAGAGTGAGAATGTTGACAAGCGCTTTAATAACTTGAAGCGATGGAAGCAGAACAATTGGCAGGACCCCGATGCAGTTGAGGAATCGAAAATACCAGCCAAGCCTTTGGCCAAACCAAAGTCTAAGCTGAGCAACAATTTAAACGCTAAGCCCAAGGTCAAGGCCAGCAGTAACTTGAAGCAATTTCTCCGCAAGGCCCATGCTGAAATGAAAAAGACTAAGACGGATGTGGTATCAGCGGACGATGCCCCGCAAACTCCATCTCGCAGCAGCACTCAGCGTGTGATCGTAGTACGCGACCGTCGGTCCTTCTCTCCTGCTCGCACCGTCCTGCGTATGTCCGTAGGCGAGAGCCGTTCTTCCAATGGTGGCAACACTCTGCTCAAGTCTGCTATATTGGCCGCAGCCGAACAAAACGCTATTAATCATACCCCCCCTCCCAATAAGGGACGCCAGTCGATTCTGAAAACACCAGGGACCAGCAAGCGTGAAAGTCGTGGAGTTATTTTCAGTACAAAGAAAAATGTACGGCACTTCAAATTCACCTACGAAGAAGGCACTATTAGCGATGATGAGCCCTTTGGCGGCGTTAAGCTCGAGGATTGCGAGGAGGACATGTCGATCGAAGCTTCAGGCGAAAGACGATCCGTAGACCAGGGCCCAGCTGAAAATGAGCCCCAATCCGAGAATGGCGACACTTCGCGGACGTACACGCTGCGCAATCGCAGAGTGCGTCTTAGGCCATCCACCGAGTTTATGTAGTTTATCTATCATTTATTATTTAAAATTACGTTTTTGTTTATATGTATAGTATTATTTAATTCTGAAAATTATATTTCAATGTCAAAGCCTTGTTTTAAATTTTGTTTTTAATTAAGTACATCAACAATCAAATAAAGGAAAAAAGGAGCAGTAGTTCTAGTCTGAGCAACTTTGACGATGAGCCAGAGAACGCTCCCCAAAAAGAGAGCCCTCCCCTGCCCGCCAAGAGAGAGATCTCTAACAGAGACGTCGACCTTATCGACACCCAAACACTTGGTCGAGAATCAATCCACCCAACACTGAGGAGAGGCAGGCAAAGTTCTGTTCCGAGCGATTAACGTCCATATTGAGGCACAGACATCGACCTTTCTCAAGGAGCCGATTGATTTGAGGGGCCTGCCAAGTGAAGATCAGTGGACGATCATGTTTTAACGGCACAAGGAATGCATTGTCTGCTTATAACAGCATCAATAGCAACAGCAATCGTGCCATCTTTCACTGCGGCGTTCAGGCAGAAATTGTGTGGAAATCTAGAATGGTCACTTCCTGAAGCAGATTAAACTCTTCAGGGCATCGCACAGAACGTATTCTGCTATGGATTAATATCAATCATTCAAAATGCACGCTTAAAAAAGCCATGGTCGGAACCGCCATGGACTGTTCAAAATTTGCCCTGCCATGCTGTTAGACAAGCCATTTAATACTTTTGTTCGCGAGAATTACCTACTGGCTGCAAGTTGGCTGCATCTGAATTTATTAATGACTATGATTGAATGATATCAATCTTCGCCAATATACAAAATCAGATCTAAACATAAACAACACCCACCCTAACCAGTCTATTTTCTTCAAAATTTTTATTCCAAAATTTTAAATCGCAAAGGCCGCAATCGATTCATCGACGTCCTCGAAATGCAGCCGTTCTTGAGTGTTTTACAACACAGTCATCGCACTTCTTCGATAGTTTCCTTTGCAACGCTGATAGTACAATTTAGATAAAATTCTCATCAACTGCAGTAGAAATAGACTGGACGGCAATTTAAATTGAATTTTGAATTTGTTGTTGTTTGGCAATGTAAATGCGTTACAGATAAAGTGCATATATTTGCGGTGCTGTGGAATAGGTTTATAGGCGATTTTCGTGTGGTATTTTTGCAAGTGACCGACCGTACAGTTCATAGTCGTTTGTCAGCACGGGCATAGATTTTCTTTTTGTTTTGCTTAGCATCGACCGCGCACACTGCAAATATTCAAAACAAACATAAAGACTACCTGATAAGGACACACAATTTAAATTGGACCCCACAATGGATACCAGTTGCAGTAACATTGGTAAGTTGTCTAGTGCTTAAGCCGTACTTTCGTATTTCAAATTGAATTTTCAACCTCTGGCCAGTACAGCGTGTACCTGGCTAGCATGGCAGTTGGCAGCTCATGTAGGGGCCTGCTGGCGCGCAAATTATCAAACCGGCCAGCAGCCCATGCGGCGAGCATAGAAAATCATGGCATCATACCCCATATGTGGCTGCATTATTCCGTCGCCAATTTTGAATCGCATTTATAATGAGGTCGGTGCGTAATTTGCTTATTTCTGATAATTCGACCTTTGGTGACGAAACGAAAAATGTACCCCAAGTGCTTTCAACGAAGTGGGAACATCCCAACTAAAAATTTCCCAACGCGGACCTTGCCAGACAGTTCAGTACATATATACGAATGTGTTGTCGTGTGAGTGCTTTGTGGGGTACAGTCTTGGGGCAGTTGTGGGTTGCTGGCTGCCGATTTGAAGTATTAGCATGCGAAGCAGCTTAGTTAAAAATTCTATTAAGTTCCGACTTATTTCGATTGCAAATAGCCTAGAAATTTTCTGTAAGTGGCAGCATCTTTACTTTATTATGAAAAAATAGCTCAAAAATAATTTCCCTTCATAACGTAAACAAGACCTGCCAACTAGGTTAAATTCAACCAAAACCGCGAAGACTTAAATTTATTATCATAAATTAAATGTGAATGAAAGTAATTTAAATTTTTAGAATCTAGACCATGAATTAAACAGAGCGGGAACTTAATTATATAAGAAATGTGGTACTGATAAGCAGGCCTATCGATAAAATTGTATCAGGTTGGCAGTTCAGTGGGCAGCACATTGTAGGGTTTACGCAATTTTGGAGCCGTGACAAGATTTTTCCGACTTGTAAAAAGGCATTTTGCTCCATTTAAGGACAAAACAATATTGTTGTAAGTGAAGGAACGTGCGACGAAGCTAGTACCACACATCGCAACTCGATTTGTTTTCAGTTTTTGGAAAGCATACGGAACATTTGAATCATGTCACATGCATTTGCTGCTGCCGTATCCGTATGCCGGTCGGCTGCCCCCATGGTCATTCGTAGCAGCCGCCGGACCATGAGCTCATCCCGGATGCTGAGATTGGCTTGCGCCACCGGGCCGGCCGCTGTCAATCGGGATTGCAAGCGGAATGGTTTACTCGCTGGCAGGACCGGCAACGTTCAGCAATACCTTCGTCAATACGCCAATGAGAAGAAGGTCTTCGAGCGCACCAAGCCGCATTGCAATGTGGGCACCATTGGCCATGTTGATCACGGCAAGACAACTCTGACCGCAGCCATCACCAAAGTACTTGCGGACAAACACCTGGCCGAGAGCAAAAAGTACAATGAGATTGACAACGCGCCGGAGGAGAAGGCCAGAGGCATTACGATCAATGTGGCCCATGTCGAGTACCAGACAGAATCGCGTCATTATGGTCACACGGATTGCCCAGGACATGCTGACTACATCAAGAACATGATCACGGGCACAGCTCAAATGGATGGGGCCATTCTAGTCGTGGCTGCAACGGACGGCGCTATGCCCCAGACCCGTGAGCACATGCTGCTGGCCAAACAGATTGGCATTGATCATATCGTTGTGTTTATAAACAAAGTGGATGCCGCCGATCAGGAGATGGTTGACCTAGTGGAAATGGAAATACGCGAGCTGCTCAGCGAGATGGGCTATGATGGGGATAATATTCCTGTCGTAAAAGGCTCAGCTCTGTGCGCTCTGGAGGATAAAAATCCCGAAATTGGTTCGGAGGCGATTCTAAAGCTGCTCAAGGAAGTAGACAGCTTCATACCAACTCCAGTGCGTGAGCTGGACAAGCCTTTCCTTCTGCCAGTGGAGAATGTATACTCTATTCCAGGACGCGGAACTGTTGTCACTGGTCGCTTGGAGCGAGGTGTGGTCAAGAAGGGAATGGAATGTGAATTTGTCGGCTACAACAAGGTGCTCAAGTCGACGGTGACTGGCGTAGAGATGTTCCATCAGATTTTGGAGGAGGCTCAGGCTGGAGATCAACTGGGAGCCTTGGTGCGCGGCGTTAAGCGAGATGACATCAAGCGTGGCATGGTTATGTGCAAGCCAGGCAGTGTAAAGGCCATGGATCAGCTGGAGGCACAGGTCTACATATTGTCCAAGGAAGAGGGTGGTCGCACCAAGCCCTTCATGTCGTTCATTCAACTCCAAATGTTCTCGCGCACCTGGGACTGTGCTGTCCAAGTGCAAATCCCCGACAAGGACATGGTCATGCCTGGGGAGGATACCAAACTGATACTGCGTCTCATCCGCCCTATGGTCATGGAACAGGGACAACGTTTCACTCTACGCGACGGAAACCTGACTCTGGGCACTGGTGTTGTTACCAAGACCATGTCGGCGCTCACTGAGACGCAACGCTCCGAGCTAACTGAGGGCAAGAAGGCGCGCGAGAAGAAGGAGGCTGCCAAGAAGTAATAAGAAATGTGTCGGCTATTTAATAAAATCATATATTTAAGCACTTTGTATGCGTATTCTGTAAGTTGTTGGCGATTAAATTGGAGTCGAGTAATAAACAAAAGAAACACAAGAACTGAAACCAGCTAAAAACTATTTTTAAATCGTGTTCTGGTTTGTAGGGAATGCTTTTTTTGTGTATCGATTATTCGTTGAGAAAAATCGAATATTGTTCAATACTGATCTCTAGTGCTGGAAAATTAAGTATCGCAACCGTCTTAAACGCAGCTGATGATAAAGAAAATTTTGAAATTGAATTGAAAATAAGTGCAAATATGTACACTCAGCGGTGGCGACGGTCGTCGGGTATAGAAACTAACGTTAGAGCCAATTGATAAACTTTTAATTCCAACCTTTTTTGCACACAGAATCTTTGGACGACAACACGCCATTACCCGAACTCAGTTTCGAAGACTTTTTGGAGCCAACACAAGAAGAAACTGCCACACAGCACCACATGGAAATCGATGCACTCGATTCGGATGGAGATGGCGACGGCGGCGATGAGCACTCAATCTCCATTAAAGAGTCATTGAACACCCCGCAATTTAAAAGAACCGTTGTCACCATACTGGAGGACAAACGATTGAGATCGCCTGGACCTGCTGTTTTGAAATCGCACGCTATTAAAGTGGTAACAGCAGGGCCGGGATCAGTCGCACCAATCAAGCCACAAATAACCGACATAAAGGTTTTAAACAATTTTAAACCCCTTTCAAGCAACACTGTTAAGATTGGCAACACAACTGTTGCACCAACATCCTCTCCGGGTGGAACACCAAAGGGTTTAAACAGCCTGACCATGACACAGATAAAAACGCCTGATGGAAAAATTCTCTACCTGCAAAAGTCTATGCCGGCGGGAGCAGCTGCTAAGCCAGCGGTGGCTGCATCAACTCCTACCATGCCCAAGGCAGCAGTCACTGTGTCATCAGCAGGAGCCGTACATCATCTAGTCGCCCCAACGGGCCTTCAAAAAGCAATCCTCTCCAAGGCCGTGAACGTTGGCAGCACTGGCCTGGTCAAAGCAGCCGTGCCAGGGAAAGGAGGTACCTCGGCCTCCACGCCCTTAACAATTAAGGGCATAACGCCACTGGGAGCGAAGAGTGTGTCGCCCGCCAACTCACCTACATCAACTCCGGCTGCCAAATTTCAGGTGGTCCGGACATCTGATGGAAAGATAATCAAGATTAATCAGGCTAGCCCGTCCATGATTATAAACACCAAAGCAAACACCACCAACACACCGGGAACTGGCATCAATGCAGCAACATCCGCCCTTAAACTGTCTCCCTCAACCGGTAGCGTAGGACTGCGAAAATCGATTGGCCAAGTGGTTATCAGGGCAACTCCTCCCAAACACGGGCCAGATGTAAGCAACAGTTCCACTTTGACTACCGGCACATCTGTCACAACAAACAACGCATCGGCCCCGCCCGGAAAAATGTTGGTGCAAAACACGGGCAAGCAAATTGTGGTGTCCAACAAGAACATCATAAAGCTGTCGCCCAAACCAGGGGCCGCCAGTAGCATAACCAACACAAGCGGCGCCCAAGGGAACTCCCCAACAAAGGGAATACATGCTGTACAAATTCCTGGCAAAGGGGGTGTCGTGCAGTATGTACGTGTCCTCCCCAGCACTAAGGAGGTGGCCAGTACCAGCAGTGCAACGTCTGTCGCAAGGTCGAATACCTCGCCAAAGATAACTCTTGTGCGTTCTGTCATGTCCTCGGCTACATCCTCGAAAAGTCCATCTACCCCAACATCAGTAGGAACTAAAGTAGTTTCTGTCGGCAATACAAACAAGATTATAATGAAGACAACGGGTGGAAGCATTGTTCCGCTTCCCTCCATGCAAACGTTGGTTTCCAAGGTGAGTACGAAAACTGTCCCGATCTACACTATCCTTGGTACACGGAGAACTAACCTTACGTTAAACCTTTTTAGCGTGCGCTGGGCGCCACCAACACCAGGCCGCCTAGTGTGGGCAGCGGCAATAGCGGCAGTCAGGAATCGCCCCGAAAACAAAGGCTAAACGATCTCAATATTCAACACAAGGCCGCTGCAGACGATGCCAGCGATAGCAGCGAAGCGGGCCCGGAGACAAAACGGCCACGCTTCGTAATATCCGTACCGCAATCATCTCAGAAGCAGCAGCTGCAAAAGCATGTTATGACACGTCCCTCGTCGATACAGCGCGTGACGGTGCAGGGCGCCAACTCCAACAAAAGTAGTACTAATCCTGCAAAGAAAGTCTACAATTTGTTGCAGTCACCCAAAGGAGTAAAGTACATGATTTGTAATTCGGGAATTCCTCAGTCATCGACCAGTGCCATGAGACGTGGATACACCGGCTATGTGGACGGCAAGACTCGTCGTCCGCTTTCCATAGCAGCACAACAGCATCGCTTACAAATTACTCCACAGCAACAGGCAAAAAATTTGCAAGCCTTGCAGGCCCAGGCCAAGCAGAGGATACGACAGCAGCAGCTGCAAAATCAACCAATTGCGGTTCAGCCGAAGGCGACGCAGGCCACAGTCCAGCCGTCACAAGCTAATGCTAATACTAATGCTAATGCTAATCCTAATCCTCAAAGCGCCAAGATTTTGCCTGAGAAGCCGCTCTTTGAGATACTTAAGTCTCCCCAATTGGCCTCAGCGCCTACGACTGATGCACTGGCGGGTATGGCGTCGCGACGTAAACATTGTAATTGCAGCAAGTCACAGTGTTTGAAGCTCTATTGCGATTGCTTTGCCAATGGAGAGTTCTGCCAGGACTGCACCTGTAAGGACTGCTTCAATAATCTGGACTATGAAGTGGAACGAGAGCGAGCAATACGCAGTTGCCTTGACCGCAATCCCAGCGCATTCAAGTACGTGTTTTTCCAGCTATTCCAGCTATAATCATGGCGTATTAAGTTAACATTTTTCTTCTGATTTCTTTACAGACCCAAGATAACGGCGCCCAATTCGGGTGACATGCGTCTGCACAACAAAGGGTGCAACTGCAAACGGTCTGGCTGCCTGAAGAACTATTGCGAGTGCTACGAGGCAAAGATACCTTGCTCTAGCATTTGCAAATGCGTAGGTTAGTAAAAGAATGAAAACCCTAGGACTTGTGTTCACCGATCTTAACTAAAATGTTTTATTTTTGTATTTTTGTAGGCTGTCGCAACATGGAAGATCGTCCAGATGTAGACATGGACTCCATGGACAGTTTAAAGGATGGCGAAGACTCGAACAAGGCTAAAGACGGGAACGACAAACAGTCGCAGGATGATTCGGATCGGTATTTGACCGACGATGTTGTAGAGGCGACTATTATGTGCATGATATCTCGCATAGTGATGCACGAGAAGCAGAATTCGGCTTTAGAGGATACCGAGCGTGAGGTGATGGAGGAGCTGGGCGAGAGCCTGTCTCAGATTATATCTTTTGGCAAGGAGAAAATCGATACAAACGAGCTGGTAGACTCCATGGCATTGGCTTCTTGATGTTTAAACGTAACATGAATTAGTTTGTAAGATTAAAGCGTTCTTGACCTTTTCCCCTCTAACTTGTACTCTTTTCATGGGCTTTCTAAAAGTTGACCTTAAAGTAATGTGTAAAGTTAACAAAAAAATGTTACACCAAATGTATATACATATATCAAATCAATCCAATCATGCATTAACTCGTACATTAGCAAATACCAGATTTAAGATCAAATTCACTCTGTATTACCATCGAGGGTCTTTGACGCGTACTTTCCGCAACCTTGATGTAAGCAATTGTAACTATATAAAATAAATGTTTAGTTGCGAAAAAAAAGAGTTTTCATTGGGAAGGGCAACTCCTTGGGGCCTTTCAAGAGGAATTAAATTGAGTAAAAAGTAAAACTTTTGTTCTCGAGCGTAGCTTGTTTATTCACCAACAACTTCAGTTACATATTTGTAGTTTGCATTTGCATTTGAATTACAATAGAATTGTTTCCAATTTATAAGATAAGGGCGAGCTCGAGTATAGTAAACTCAACGCAATTTAGTTTATTTATCCCGATATATTGTTATAAGTATCTCTATGAAATAAACATTTGTCCAACGACTAGTGCATAGATTATATATATAATAGCTATAATATTGTATTCATATAATTTTATAAGTGGTTTGTTGGTAATATATTCTACTCGGTCACCGTTTGGCTTAATAAATGTAAGTTTTCTGGTTAGGTTTCTCCCGGCTCTCACCCTAAACATGGCATGGCATGAGTACTCATCGTCACATCGTTTGTAGTGTGTGTAAGTGTGATAATAATCTAAGGACTATGGTAAATTTAGTTTGTATAAATAGCTCGTATCATATTGTGTTGTGTTTTGACTAATATGCTCGCGCTAAACTATAGAAACGAAGATAGTATTTGGTTTTCCTGCGGTCATTCGCATGTGAACTTGAGAGAGAGTATGTGTGTGCGATTATCTCATATATAGCAAATACATACGGTAAGTTGTTAAATTTAGTATTTTAGTGTGTATTTCGTAGTATAGTGTATATTGAATACTGTGCACAAAACGCTTTGGTTAATTGTAGTAGCATAATAGCTTTGTTTGACCCCATACCAGCTTTTTGTGTGTGTTTTTAAATCGTATTTTGCAATCGATTACACTTTTTTTTGAACATTTAAACATAGTTAGATAACAATAACGATTTGAATATGAGTTATACTAGGAGTATGCGTAATATTTATGTTGTTGTTGTTCATTTATAAGCTATATTGTCTAATTCACACGTCTATATTGAATGCTGAGTCCCCCGAACGGGGAACCAAAGCACAAGGTTATACAATATAACCTTATGAAAACCGAACTAAACCTGTTGCTAAATATCAGATCAGTATAGATACATTTAAATACATATGATGTACAGGTTGCATACCCTGTACAATGCTCATGTACCGCAAAAATACATCTCATACATATGCAAGCCTGCCTTTACGAGTATATGTAATATCAAATCTCTGAATTGGTTAATATACTATAAAATGTGTGTGTTTGCATGATTGAATTCGGCAATTCTTCAAAGCGTGAAAAGTTACAACGAACACAAAGTCAAAGTCTATGTGGATTATGATTGGATTACAAGTCAATACGAGTAGGTATTAGATATTTTTTGTATAGTTAAAGTTTCACAACAATGGAACAACGATGATAATCAGCAAGTACTTCAGCTATGCGTATGTACAATTTTTCAATATAACCTCATTGTATACCTGCGATTTACTACATTTTGTTTGCTTTTCAACTTTCTTCGTTTTACCGATCTGGCCTAGTACTACAGAGCTATTTACCTCTATGGATCCTGCTCAATGCGTGCACAAAAATGTATTCCAAGGTGGCCCTATTCAGGTGGCGCTATGTTGCATTAAAAATTTGGGATTTTACATGATCCTGTACGTGATCATAACACTTAAAGACACTTGCAGCCATTCAAGAGTCTTGCGGCAGTATCCGATTGATCCAAGTTGATCTGAGTAAGTCGGGGAACGAAATCGGTAATACGCATGAGGGAAACATTCAAATTTTGGGTGCGAATACTCCTAGTTCGAGACTCTCTGTATACGAAAGAACTTTATGTAGTTTGAATGAAGTTTGTGGGGTAACTCACCTTAGCGATTTCATTCCCCACTTGTAAATGTAATTGGAGACATAAAATGCAAATAAAAACTCACAAATTGTGCACGCATTTCACTGGATTCGATCTTAGCCTATCCATTCGTATATGCTATGGAAATGGATTCCAAGTACAGTTGGTACCACAAGCCTATAAGAGTTCCCTAAATGTGTCAGATAACTTGTGTGTGTGTGTGTGCTATGTGGGCAACAATTTTACAAGAGTGTATTGCGAATATACGTATATAATAATGTGTGATAGTTTAGGAGTATATGTTACTGGGATATTCAACTAGATTCCGATAACTAACTTTAGCTTTAACAACTTTAAATTTTAAATTGATTTATTTAAAGAAGGTCGGGTTCGATATCGAGTAGCCCGATAAAGCCCGTGTCAAATGTCACGCCGTATTGCCAGAAAGCTTTAATGGGGCTGGGGAGCCTAGGAACGGGCAGCACTTTGTCTTCCAGAATTCGAGAATCGGAGAGAACAAGGGTGCCTGGTTTTTCGGTTTCACATCAATGAAACACACTTTCTTTGGAGTTCTTTTAACATTAACAAAAAATTTTCATTTATATGATTGGAATGCAATATTACCAATCCCTTTGGCAGAACGTCTTCGGAAAGCACAAAATTACTAGCACGAAATGAGTCATGCAATGCGTAAGGCCTCCTTGTCTTAGCCCAAACAGTCCATAATAATTTACATAGTCCCTTTCTCTGCAGATGGACTGCATACGAATCGCCCTACTCCCGACATCTTTCGCGGCGATCCATTTAAAATTCAATCGTACAATTTTCGGTATGCCGATCGACCCATCTACCCAGTACAGCACTACCAGAGGCCAGGGCCAGAGCCGCTCCCCTGCCACACGCCGCAATTCGAGACATTCTACCGCAATCCCAAGTTTTCCAGCGATCCCGAGTACGCACCGAGCGCGAAGCCGAGTCCGCAGAGCACCACGGCCTTCACGGAACACAGGCGCCGTAGGTTCCTGCGGGACTTCCAGTCCATTCCCACCACTCCGATTCGACGAACCTTCTCCGGTGTCTGCCAGCGCCCGCCAGAGGTGCGCAGTGTCTCAACGGTACCTCAGCCACCACGCCGGCTCTCGCCCAAGGCTCCCGTAGAAGTGACGAATTCTCCGCTTCTGAGGAGCTGCTGCAACCGTGGCGATTATCAGGCAATGGTTCGGGGCCAGAGCACCTCGTCGTTGGTGCGGAGTGGCAGCGGTAATGTGCTGAAGACTGGAGTACCTAGGAGCGCCTCTGCGGCCTCGTTTGACAGGAGGGAAAGGGAGTGGCAACGATCCGTTGCCACTAGAACCAGTTCCAACATCCAGCTTCTGCCTAAGAGAAGCGGCTACAGCGGTTGCGAGATCAACATCAACATCGGCGCCTTGGACTCTGAATCGGAGACGGACAACAATTTAACAATCAAGATTGAGACGGACACTTGTCTGTTGAACAACACGGACAAGGCAAAGCAGCCGGAGAGACGTAAGCGCTCCAGCAGTGCCAGCCGATCCCCCGTCACCTTCGATATAGACAAGCGATTGTCCAAGTTCAATGTGGCCGACAAAAAGCCCAGGAGAGGCTCGGACGAGGAGGCCAATCAACGGGAGTGGGATCAGGAGCTGAAAATGCAGCGAGAACGCGCCAGGCAGCGGGAGAGGGAGCGAGAAAATCTGCGCCAGCAGGAGAGGCAAAGAGAATACGAGCGCCTCCTCGAGCTCGAGGTGGAGAGGGAGAAAGACCGCCTCAGAGAGCTGGAAAGGGAGTCGCAGCGACGGAGAGAGTACCATGAGTACCAAGAACACCTACGACGGGAACAGTGGAAGCGGCAGGAAGTACCGATGCGTGCCATGCCCACATCCCCCCTGATGATGACCTCTCACTTGAACAGACGTACCTCCAACGATCGTCTGCCCGGGATGGTCCCCTTCCTGGACCGCCCACCTGCCGCGGCCAGTAAGCGGGCACAGCGTCTTCAGAACTGCTCCAAGAATCTGACATCCCTGAGGGGCCTAAAGAAAGCCACAGCTCCTCCTGTACCTCCTGCCTCCCTGTTAACTACAGCTCCCACTGTGCCTCCCGTCGCCATGTTTACCACAGCTCCTACTGTCAATCGTCCCAGGAGTCTAGAGCGGACCAGTTCTGGCACGTCGAATGGCAACATCCATGTAACGGTAACCACCAATGGTAGCAATTCCAGCCTGCGTCGGCCATCGGCCACAGGGCTGAACGAGCAGAAGAAGCTGAATGGAAGCTCTGGCTCCCATTCCCCCATTCTCACCAGGCTAAATAACATCCCCATTAGGATAACCACCTCGGGTCCGGGTGACAGGGACGTGGAGTTCTCAATGAACCAAGTGCGGCTACGAAGTCATTCACCCATGCCGGGTGTGGCTCCACGTGTGAGCACCAGTCGGATGCGACAGGGGGAGGACAGCTCTGTGCAGTCCTTGAATGTCAATATCAACGTCTATGCGGATAACACCTCGCGTACGATGCGTATGTGCGAGTAGAGGTAGAGTTTGTAGGTAGGATCAATATCAGGAAAATTCTGGAACCCCGCTCTTCAGGCGGGTAAATTCAGAGCGGAACGCAACGGGAATGTGTTCCAGAGTTGAGCTGATCTTGACCCCACCTACATACGTATGTACTCGTCGAATCGTTCCCAGATACAGATGCGGCACTCGTTTAAGCTGACTTAAAGTTCTCGGACTTTTGTTTTTAATTGGGTAGAAAGGAAAAAAAATCAATAAAAAAGTGTAGGTTCCCACAGATTGTGTTCGTTATTTTTTCAAAGTATATGAGGGCTAGATATCCTAGATTCCCCCCCCATTAAATCAATGCAATTGCAGGCGCCTTTGACACAGCAATAAAACCTTCTATTCTGGGAGTAGTGTTTTGGATAGAACTCCTAAAAGCTCAGCAAACTTTACATACATACAGTTGCATCTGTTTGTGTTCGATGCAACGACTGTACCTTGTAATGAAACTCTAATATCGTTTTTCAATAGTTCCAATTAATTCAATAATAAACATTTGGTCACTAAATTGCCTCCGGTATATAGTAGGGCTCTTAAGATCGTTGTTTTGGAAGGACTCTCATCAAACACATAGAAGAAGTCTATGATATTTCGTTCCCAGTCAAAACTTTACCCGTCTTCCCCGAACATCATGCCCGTCATATAGAGCTCTATAAATACTAAATTTTCTCTGATTAATGGATTTAAATTTTGGGGCTGTGCTTGTTCTTAACGTGTGCGATTTCTTGGTTTGTAGCTGTGGATCTATAGGAGGTTTCTTTTCGATATGATAGTAGAAGAAGGGTTATTTAACACCATAACATTGAACAATAATAACGATTTCATTTGAAATTGCATATGATATATCTGATATTGTTGGTTGTGTTTCCTTTTCTTTTTTTTTGTCGTTTACTTAGTTTTGCATCTTCTTTCACATATTTTTTTGTAATTTTTGGTCACTCTTTCGGCGACATTGCGTTGGAGTTTATTTTTAGTCATAGTGGGGTTCGGTTCGGCCTTTATTCGTCTTCGTCGTAGTTCTGATAGGTGACATAACGTACCTGTTCTCGATCGCGTCCGTAGATTAATGACTGCAAGGAATGGAGTAGAGCGGAGGATAGTAGTATTAGGATTAGTATTTTCAGGCATGCACAAGACAATGAAACTCAGGCGGTGACAAATAAATACAAATTAAAAGTTTTATTACAATCAAATTAAGAAGAACTTAACGCTAAAACAATGATAATGACTAATAATACAAAAACTAAATACTTAAGCGATCTCGATTGGAAAGGCACTAATAACGCTTAAGGCTACAAATTCAATTTCATCTCAGACATTGAAAACATAAACTTAAAGGCAAGCGCCTGCACCTAGAGCCTCTCGCTCTCGTATGCTTCGTTCGACTTTCCAAGCTCTGCCGTGCCATGCATAATGGCTGGACAGGATGCCGTCAGCTGGGGAATCGAATTACCGCCGACGGCACTGGCATTGGCCAGTTCCGTTTCCGGTTCAGCAGCAGCAGCAGCCGCAGCCGCAGCGGCTTCTCTGGCCATACGTACCTTTTTCTCATCGCTGGTCGGTGGATTCTTGAGGAAAGTAAGGAGCGGGGCGTAAATGAAGCAGAGAATAGCTATGCCGAACAGCATCCACTCGAAACCGATGCTCTTCACCAGGGAGCCGGAGAGGGCAGGTCCCACAGCAAAGCCCACGCAGAAGGCCACGTCACCCAGAGCGTAGACGCTGCCATAGACGGCTGAATGTCGGATGTCCACAAGATAGCCCAGCTCCGGCATCATCGAAGAGTCGACCATGCCAATGGCAAAGCCAAGGCCGGCGTTGGGAATAATCAGGTGTGTAATTGAAGTGGCCATGGGTATCTGCAATATTTCTCAATGAGTTCGAGCTCAAACCCAATTCAGACTTGTTGAAACAAGACTTACAAAGATCAGGCAAGCTCCAATGATGATCAGGCCGAGGCAGGCGGCAAACCAGCGTCCAATCTTGTGTCCCAGGGGTCCGAAGAGATTCGTGCCAATCAAATAGCTAATGGAGGCCGGCAGGAAGGCCACGCCCTGCTCCCAGCGAGTGGCTCCCATGTTGTCGACCATCCACAGCGGCAGCGAAGGTTCCAGCATGGCAATACCCATGTTGGCAAAGGTGATCGCCCCAGCGGCAATCAGTATGTACGGATCACTGACCAGAGACTTCAGAGATGGCGGCTCGGACTCGCATTTCTGCACCGATGGCTGCAGCATGAACAGCTGCAGCAGGCCATCGCCCAGAGCCAAGGCAGCCAGAATCAGGAATGGAGCTGACTTGCCCACAAACTCGTACATGACACCGCCAAAGGGCGGGCCAATGAGAACGCCCAACGCCAGGCCGCCCAAGGCAATGCCCATGGCATTGCCACGCTCCTTGTCGTCCGTAAAGCGATCCGCCAACATTCCCATGCCCGACACCGAAGAGCAGGACGAACCGATTCCCTGCAGAGCTCGGGCCACAAACAGTACCAAATAGGAGCGACCAAAAGCGAAGACTACGGAGAGAGTGGGATTGGCGAAGTTAAGGCTCTGAGCTGTGGTAACTTTTTCTAGCCAATTAAAGGAAACTCACTTATCGTGGAGAGGAACATTATCACGAAGCCGGCGAACATCGGTATGCTATATCCAATGCTGGGAAACGGGAAAGGCAAAGGGGCACAGTCATCATTGCAGCCCTACGGGTATGACTGCTCGTTAACTTACCGGTGCGTAAGGGGTCCCACAATCGGATTAACCAGCAGCTGGACGAAGGCCTTCGAGGCGAACAGCAGGCCAACCTCGACCGTCTCTCCAACCAGCTCGTTGTGCCGCTCCTCTAGCTCCCGGTAGTAGGTCTCGTTCTCTGTGGGATGGAATGGGGGGAACGGATTGGGGGTACCACCGTAAGTCATATTTTTAACGCGTTGCCAATTAGACTGCTGCTCACTTACCCTCCGGACTCATGGTGGAGATCTCAAGGGGAGCCGCCTCGCTGCCATCCTTGTTGCACGGACACGGCGTGGGCGGTGGCGGGGTGTGAAAGGTGAGTGGTGTGCGGGCATAGCTGTCGAGCGGGGCGTCCGGATGTCGTATGTCGTACAGGAACTCGGGTATGATGGGCACTGTGTACGATGCGGTGGGTTACGGAAGGTGTAATTAAAAAGGAACAGAAAACACACAAAAAAGATGTTCCTGCAATTACCCTAAGCGGCCGCTGGATGGCGCTGTTGCCGAAAGCAAGTCTATAGCTGCGCCGCCACGGCCGCTCTTTAATTGCATTTGGTGCTAAAAGTTTTATAATTGCTTTGCCAGCGCCAGAGATTGCCTCGGCCTAATTGAGTTGCAACCGGCAACAAAAAAGGAGGGCCAACCAGGCAGGCAGGGCAAAAATTGTGCATACGCCACCAAGGCGAGACGACGATGCGTTTAATTGACTCTCCAAAAGGGGATCCCCAGTCGGTGTTCTGGCCGCCTCTAGCATAACCTGTCCCTTCCCCTTACCCCATCTAGGGGAAATTCAATTTGTTTGTTGCATGTTTCGACTCAGTTTATATTTATTATCAACACCAGTAAAACGACTGCATCACTCAACATTTGCCGTACTCGGGCTGGTACTCGTAATTGCATTTCCTGCCAAAGGCTAGGCCGAGGTCGGACACGGCTGATGGCAATGGGAATGGGAATGGGAATGGGGATACGGGCTTTTCAATTGAGTTGCCCGCTGGTTGAGTGAGTGTTGAAAGTAGTTTGAAGTATGTACTGTTGAGGTAATTTGTTTGTACGTGGAGTCGTCTACATAGACAGGGATTCGTGGTTATCCCACTGACATAACGAGTGGAGCCATATGGGGGTGTGGGTCTGCCATTAATTGGGGCTTTTATGTTGGTTTGTGGGGTCAGGTACATAGTAAAACTTCTACTTCTACTCATATGCATAGGCGCCTTCATAACTCCTTGCTGCAGGCTTGTGCTGCCTCGTGCTGCCTCGGTACGAGGCCCCGGTGTCTTCCAATGAGTTCAAGCGAAAGTGGAAGTCTCGCCCGACCTGGAACCGACTTTGCCTTAGACTTATGATGCCTCGTGTCAACCACATCCACCTGTCACATATGTCGGCCATGTAAGCCGACTTGCCATTTGGCAGCCTTGCCAAAAAGGAAACCCCCATTCGGCAACAAAACCCTTTGGAAGTCCATGGAATGACATGCAAGCGGAAATGTATGCAAATTTCGTACGATTCCTTTAATTGGGGTTAACCACTTGGAATGCCACAACATCCAAACGATTAGCCAACCGATTTTATGCGACAAAAAGAAAACTGTTGCCTAGTAATTTGTAGGTATCAAGTCCCCAGCCACTCATTAAACTGTCTCCAAAGCTTTTGACACACAAAAAATAATCATTCTGGAAAAGCACGTGCAGCATATCGAGGGATGGCTTGGGTTTGATGGGGGATTGGGTGCTCGTGGTGGTGGAGCAGAAGTTACCCAGTCGCTGCTCCGGTTGCATTTCGCGTGTCGAAGACACTTAAAACCGCAAAGCCAAAAGGAAAGCGACTCCGGCAGTCAGGCAGCCATGCAGCCAGACAAACAAACAAACAGGGACTGGAGCTGGAGCTGGAGCTGGTGCTGGAGGTGGCCAGGGCTACGAGACTTGGTATTCTAGTACGCAAATTATTCTATTTTGTTAGAGGAATGGGTGATTTCACAAAGAAAAGATGGAGACTTATTCACCCGTATAACGATCCTTCGATCTTTAAACAATTCATTGGTTAAATATCTGAATTTATGATAAGAGTCCCTCGATTCACTCATAAACGTCTTTGAAGGTAATGCTATCACACTTTCCAGCCTGTTGTTCAATATTTTACGACATAATCGGGACCATTTCGATCCAAATCGGTTTGGCAAACCACTTTCGTTCAAGTTCAAGTAAGCCTTGTCAACAGAACTTAAGCTCTTCTCTAAAAGGTTAAAAAAGTTACAAATAATAAGTGACAAACAGCAGGGACCTTTGCCCATCCCTGTGGCCCATCCACAGGTCACAGATACATCGATATGCAGGGCGACATTCGCTGCGCTGGCGATGATGGTGGCGGCATTGGCGGCGTCGTCAAGCCAAACAGCGGCGGCAGTGAGGCAGCAACTGGCGAAGCAGTCAGTCATCGACAAGCGACGAGGCACAGGACCACAGGCAAAGCAGCCACAAAAGTATCCTCCCCGAGTTGGTTGTTGGATCCATTAATATGCAAATCATTTAATTACTCAGAGGGGGAGAGGCGGAGACTGAGACTAAGCAGGAAATGCGTCCCATTTGGGAGTCGGCCAGCAGGCCTCTGTTTGTCCGCTCCGTGTGGCAGGAGACGATAGGCAGGCGGCACTTCATCCTCGACTACGAGCCGCGTCAGAGGCAGCGCTGGATGCGCCAGAGGACGCGACCGAAAGGTAAGTTGCAGGTGTATCTGCCAAACGGTCAGTGCGTGATGGACTACTGCATCCCACAGCGAACTATCCGCAGACCCAATCCTACGAGGAGTACGAACAGTCGCCGGAGGAAAGTATCGAGCTTCTAGACGAGTATCTGCTGCTGGATGCCACCAAGCTGACCCTGCAGCAGCAACAGTCCTTTCCTGCTTTGGCCGGAAGAATGAATCCCACCTCAGGCTCGGCCACGGCGCTGGGCGGCAGCAAAGAGCAAAGACAGAACAGTCGTCAGGCCAAGAGGCGCGCCTGGCTGCTAAGCAGGGGAAAGACCTACCACCTGGACCACCATCTGGCGGAGCATCAATCGAGACGCAGCTCGCTGCAGGACCCCAGCACACTCTCCGTGACGGCGAGCAATCCCGAGGAGCGTCTGGCCGAGCGAGTGCTCCACTGGCTGGACCTGGCCGGACGGACGGACATTGTGAAAGAGGCTCCCATCCAGCCAGTCACCAGCAGTGCCCAGGTGACCAGGTCCAACCAGAGGAGCCAGCGCATCCAGCACCGTGGAGTGAGCCTCAAGCGAATGGCGACGACGGCCGCAAGCCACCAGCGCTCGGTGGCAAGAAAGCCCAGTGCCAAACCGCAGCAGACCTCTAACCACACAGTGGTTACCTGCTCCTCCACTTCCGCCTCAGCCAATGCAAATGCCAAGCCCATAACTATCATCTTCAACAAGGAGGGCATTCCCGTTCGCCTCAATCGACCGGCCCGCAACATTGATCTCTGTGCGTTGAGCAGCAGTGCCAGTGCCACGAGACGTCTGGCCGGACAGTTGGCATCCGCCCGGCTGTACAGTGGGGCTGCCGCCTCCCCCTCGCATTCCGAGGAGACGCGCACGCCGCCGCACAGCAGTCGGGGACTGGCCGCCAACGGTGCCGGTTCCTCTGTCAGCCTGGACAGCCGGAAGCAGCTCCACATCTTCATGCCCAGCCTGCCCAAGAAGGGACTGTTGCCCTCGGTTGCTGGCTCTGCAGAGGATGCACTGAGCGTCAGTTTCAGTGAGTTGTGCCAGCTTTAGCTGGGAAATCGTACCATTATTATTATTATTTCTGAGTTGTAATTAATAAAGCCCAAGTATATTCCATCTTACTATAATGTAAACAAGTTTTGGGTGATCGGCGTCCGATATGACAGGGGGCTAAGGTCCTCTGTATATAACGCTAGGCGATCGCTTGTCTCTGTTTCCCTTCCATAGAGCTATTCAAAGTTCATTGGCATTCAAGTGGTAAGAGTGTTTAATTTGCCCAACCTCAAGGTTCGTCCCATACCATACCATATCGTATTTGAGGACTATTTGCCTGTGCGAAACTTTGCTAAATGTTTCCGCACGTGTTTACCTCGGAAGACAACAAGCGTTATATTTATGGGGCCACAGAAGTGCCACGCCTTAAAGGTAGAGTAGGGGAGCCAGCTCTACCAGCCTTTGTTCTTGTCCTATTAACATGCTATTAAAACAAACCGCAACAAATGGGTAAACAGTCACAGATCCCAACGAATTGTGGCAAACCCTTGGACAACTTTGACTGTTTTCTCTGGTCTTGGGTGTTCCTGGGTAAAGGTAAATTCATTTTTTTTAATACTGAAAATCACTGTACCCGCTTTTTAGGTAGGGAATAGTAGGCTCCTTGTACTTATTAATATCCCACAACCTTTTGTGGATTTTATTGATTTCCGTTTTTGTTTCGTTGCCATTGAAAGTTTTCTTTTGCTTGGAATTTGGTTCGGCTTTCGTTTATTTTTGGATTAGCCGGCGCCCTGGGCCACGCCCACTTTCTTTTGTTTTGATTTTGGTTCTGACTTCATTGTTGATTTTGACATTCTCTGTGGTTTAAGGGGCGCGATCCGGGAAAGCAAAAAGCGTAATCAGTGTAATTGTGGAAATGTTGCATGGTAAATAATAAAATAAAGTTTTGGGTAAAGTTTTTTTAATGAAAATGGCACGGTAGAATTTTCCCTTATGACATGGCTCAAGGAAGAAAAAAGTTTCGTGCATTTTGTATGAATATAACCGATCCGTCACTTAATATGCCTGCCATTTGGATAGATCGGCCTTGATATAATGAAAATAAATTATGATTGAAAAATAAAGTATACGAGTAGTTGGAATTCTTTAGTGAATTTTCCGCCATTTTCGATCAAGTCCAATGGTGGTTTTAGGAGTTTTAATCTACTGAATAATTAGCTGTTACTAGGTGAAAGATCTATAGGATTTGATTCGAAATCAGCACCATGAAAGTTCGAACTTAGGCCCCTAGATGCCGGCCCCTTTTTATGCCGCTTGGAGAACTATTTGTCTTGGATTCACTGTAGACAGGACGTAAACTAATTATGAACATTACGTATCCGTCAAACGAGCGGGTAATAGGGCTTCAACTGTCAGCCGATTCGAAGGGAAACTTCCTTTTGGCTCTGGTTTCTGTCGCGCCCCATGTCGGCGACACCTGCAACTGGCTGAATGCCACACGTGGCAAGTTGTCGTTGCCTTCGTTGATTTTATGACTGACGCTTCAGTATTCAGATTTGCTTCGAATATCGATAGGGGGGATGGGCATTTTTCCCAATGACTCATTGCGTCTGGCATGAAAGCAAAAAACAGCGAAAAAGCCGCACGATTGTGACCTTTGCCTCCAGTCCTGGCTTGCGGAATTCATGAAGAACCCCAACCCAAAAAGAAAAGTTCTTTGCCTTCAAGGCGAACCAAAGACAAAGGGAGCCGAGAGCTGACTGCCTTCGCAGCAATTACTTTGCAGGCGAGTCGGAACTTTGGAACTTTTGAAGCTCCGCCCGACGAGCAAAGAAAATGCGCAACAATATATGGATTACACACATAACAAGGCAACTTATAGACGGGCCCGATGTCTGCCGTGACTTATTCGCGTTTCAGCAGCGAGCGCGGCAGGTGCTCACAGGAGAGTCCTGCGAGTCCATTGCTAACAAGCAAAGTTTTCCGCGGCGCATTTTAATTTTCCGGCCATTAGTGGCAGGCATGTCCGTGTCCGATGAGGACTCCTCCGTGGGCAGCCCCTTCAAGCCGGCAACGCCCACGCCCACGCCCGGCGGCCAGGAGCGAACCAAAGGGCGACCGGGACCCGAGAACATGCGCCACCAGCACAGCTTCGAGGCCCGCTACAGCAGCATCATCCAGAAGCAGATCTGGGAGACCAGCATCAACAAGGACGTGCTGGAGCGGCAGCTGAACGCCTACTTGCCCTTCTCCCGCAGTGCGTCGCTCAACAAAGACGGCTCCGGCGGCTTCGACCAACTGATGCCCAGTGGCTCAACGAAGGCCCGCTCGCTGAGAACCACGCCCACCCGACGACCGGGTCCCTGCCTGGAGAAGCTGGAGACTGTGGACGTGGCCGACCATCAGGCAAAGCCATGAAGGCTTTGAGTTCTTGCTGGCTTAGAGATCCTTCTTGGGCCATCCAAGATAGTGGATAGCTGATATTCGACATTTTTAGACTAAGATCATAGGCTAGTTAAGCTATTGCTTAGTTATTTTGGAATAAGTATTATTAACGTTTAAGTCTAAAATTAAACAATAAGTCCTATATCCTTTGAAAACTCTCCTAACTATCACTCTCTCAATATTCCTCTAAAGCACAACAACGAACTTTTTAGTATTTGAATAACTTACTTAAATAATTTTGTAATTTCGTTTTATTGCTGCCCGGAAGACCCCCAACTTGGGTCCAATTTAATGCTTTCAAATCTACCCCTATTTAAAGCTTCATTCTTCTACTAAGTATTCAATCTCTTTCAATAAAACAAAAACCTTATTGCATATTCAATTTGGAGTCATTCGGGCGTCGAAGGGATACGTACGGATACGGATAAGGGACCGAGACAACAGCACATCTATGACCCATATAAATCTCCACATGCTCCTAGGCTAAATCTAATTTATGAGAATATTATGCGATACAGAACATGGCGACAGCTACGGGGGCAATGGAGGAGGGATGAGGCTGAATAGAGGGTGGCTGTACAGAGATCAAATGAATCAAATAATCAAAAGTATTCGCAGCTATTTTCGCTTCAACACCTTGAGCGCGAAGGGAGAAAGCACTTAAGTGGAAATGCCTCGAGACGCAAGCTAAAAGCCCTCTCCCCAGAACACTCTCCTTCCTTTCCACCCCATCCGTGCCATCCATCAGTCAGTGGCTGGAGAAGAAACAGGACAAAAGTTCGGGCTGGAGCTAATAGTTTTGCTTCAGCTTTTTCCTTTGACTTTCACTTCCGTTCCCTCAACAAGTTGCTCGAGTGGTTTTCCTCTTTGGTTCTCGGCTATTCCCCATCGCTACGTGTATTTGTCTTCGGCTGGGTGGCCGGCCTGGCCCCAACTTGTTGATTTAAATTCATGAACGTTTAGCACAAAGAAAACTCCCCCTCCCTTTGCGTTTTCATTTTTTTTTTTGTGTGGCCTGTTGTATTTGTCAGCCACAGCCACAGCCGCAGGCTGGAGCTGGAGCACCGCCGGACAACTGCGTTCCCACTCAATGTCCATGTGTTTGTCCAGACACTTGACACAAGCACTTGCTCCGGACACATCCCATACCCCACTGCTGCCACTCGGACGGACGAGAGCTTCCCCTGGTTGGGTTTTAGTGTCAAACGCAGGAGGGTTTTCAGTTAAAACGCAGCTCCCTGTGCGTGTCTATTTAATTGACTGTCGACCACTTGGAGCTGCTCCGTTCAGTTACGGCCCAGTCCGGTTCGGTCCATTGGTCAGCGGCCATGGGGTTTTTGTTAATGACGAAGGATTGGTACTTCAACATTGATTAGTTGTCGACAGGGTTGGGCATGACAACCTAGTTGGGCCTAGGGCTACGGTTTGATTTCCCTGCAGGCTTTTCATCGAAAAATTAGCAAAATTAGAGAATACACTAGGATTTGATTTGGACAAAGATCAGAGGCTTAATTGACTCCCAATGGATGGCCAACAACTGTTGTTCCTACCATCCAGATCTTGAAAATCTCTCCCATCAGCACTCAATGACAGTCGAATTGATGAACCGACATGAGGATGAGCATTGACAGCTTCTGTTCAGCAGGAAAACCGTCATTAGCTTAAGTGGTGCTCTGTGGTAATTTAATGGCGGCACTCCACTTCCTCTACCCCCCTGTCCCTTTGGAGAAACGGACCATTTCCAAGCGATTGCCTTCCATTGCAAAGATAACCAGCCACAGGAGATAAATGGTCATGAAATGCTAATGGGCTCCGGGGAAAAAGATTTATTCATGTATATCAAAACCACCCATCCAGTCATTTCCCAGGTGCACTTACCCACTGTGGTCAGCAACATGTTGTCGAGGAGCAGGGCTATGGCAACGATGACGAGGACAAGACGGTTGGAGCCGCGCCAGCTGACCATCCAGGACTTGGCGGCGGACCAGGACCCGGCAGCGCGTGGATCCTCCTGGCGATACTGATCCGGCGGCGGTTGGCGGCCCGTCTGCGTCTGCGACTGATACGTGGGCGGCGGCGGGGCCGGGGGCTGCCTGCCAACGCCGAGAATGCCGCAGTCCGTGTCCATGTTGCCATTCTGCTGGTTGCTGTCCAACTGTTGCTTGAAGGGATTTTTGCTGGGTGTGTTGATGCCACCAGGATGCTGTTGCTGAGGTTGCGGCTGATTGTTGGCGTTTATGGTGAAGGAGGTGGTCTCACTGCCGCTCGCTGCTCCTGCGCTAATCTCCGACTGCTGTTTCTGCTGCTGCTGTGCTGTGCTCTGCGAGAGTTTTCTTGGTCCACCATTGCCCGCATCAGTCGATGATTGCATTGCGTCGCTAGCCGCTAGTTGCTAAGGGTCGGACAGGGAACAACTGTGATTAGATCTAAGCGGATTGCCTTTTAAACTGCAATCAAATTATAAGCGGCTTTGCCAGCTCCTTCTCAGGCAGTGGCAGTGGCGGTGGCAGTGGCGGTGGCAGTGGCGGTGGCAGTGGCAGCAGCAGCGGGAGCGGCAACGCCAATGCCAGCCCCGTGCCCAGTCTTATTCCCACCACCATCCCAATCCCATTCCCATTCCCAATGCTGCGTTCGCCTTATGCCTCAATGATTTTCGCTAATTAAAAATAAATTATATCTTGCGATTTGAATTAAAAAGTTTATTTCACACGAGAACTCGCATTTAATAGAATCATACACAATTTAAATATTTATTTAATTGCCTTCCCCATCCACTCCCACACACACAAACACACAGTGGCACAACGGGGCGTATGCGCGACATTTGTCATTGAAACATCTTTCGTTGCCTATCGCAGGGCGCAAATTGAATTTGAAAACATAATTCGTTTAGAGAGCGTGTCGGGACTGACACAAAAGAGCCAGAAGGAGCTGGTTCGAGTTCTTTAAGTTTTCGACGAAAAATTGAATTACCCAACAATTAGTGCCAAAAAGGTTTTCTAATTGAGGGTAAAACGAATGCAAAGATACGATACGATTGACTAAATGAATATGGATGCAATCAAAGTGGAAGCAACTTCCCAGCCATTCATAAAATAATTTTCCTAATTTGCTTGTGCAATAGGAATAGAATATATATGCATATATTTATGGGACCTGTCCAAGTGCTTCAATTGATGCTCTTTGGAGCGGATGACAAGTCTGTCACTGGATACCATATGTTTCAATTCGGAATACGATTGCATGTGTCTGATAAATGGTCTAGGAAGCACATCGCACAACGCTCAATAAAAGCGAATGAGAATTATACTGCGACTGTGTCACGTTTTGGGGGCGTGACAGGCGCTACTACATTTTAAATTTTAATTGATCCAATCTGTCCAAATTAAATGTAAACAGCAAAGCTGACGGCATTAGTTCTAACTACTAACAAATGCAATCATTTGCTTAAATAATAGGAATGTAGTATGTACCTAGCAGGCACGTAACTGGAGTATCTGTTAATGCTGCTCGATCTTACCTCACAGCTAATTCTTTTCTGTAAGAGTATCTATTTAAGATACGGGAATATCAGTTGCACAATGAGCCTGAGCTCCCGCACAGCCTTGAGAATTTATAGAACCCCTGTTATTGCAATTGAACTGCTTTACGATCTTCGGTACGCGCACAGAAATATCAATTAGGGCGGGCGGGACTCTGTCCCAAGGCAGTTCTCTGTCAAGATGCAACCAGGAAGCTCTGATCTGATCGAATCAGCTTAATTGCACTTTCACTTTCGGCTCACGCTACGGTTCTCGATTCGTTGGTTTTCTTCGGTGGCTGGTGTCGTTCGTGGCGCGGACTCTACCGACAAGTCGTCGCTCTCAGCTCAAACTAAAAACTTTGGCGTGCTGCCTGAAGCTTATTAAACGAAATCATTTTTGCACAAACAAAAAAGATTTTCTGCCTTTGGCATTAGTTAGTTTATCGCTCGTGTTCGTCATTTGCCGTACACAGAATTGTCTGAGCGTTCTCTGTCTGTGTGTGTTTCTGGCCGGGAATCTCTGTATTTGAAATGAATGCACAATGAAAAGTGTGTAAAATACATTTTAATAATCATTAATTAGCAATTGGCATGCAATTTCGGTTTTTACGCCTATGGGAAAACCGAAACCAGACAAAGGCAAATGCTTATAAAAAATTATGCAAATTCCGTTGGCTCACAACTCGAAATTCGATTTCGCCCTCTCATAGAACAAAGAACTGGCAGTTCGACTTGTGCATCCAGAGCTTGACTGTTTAATATTTTCAATTTCGATCAGATTATAAATTAATTCCATTCAATCTGATCATATTCCGGATACATCCCGTGCAATTCCACACAACAATAAATTAAAGCAAGAGGAAACTCTATAAACTCTGTTTGGTATATTAAAGTGGGGGTACAATTGCATTTCGTAAATTCAAATATAATATCCCAAAAGAAATAAGTTTATTCAATATAAGCAACTTTTTGGAGCCATTTCCCATCGTCTTATATGCTATCTGATAAATCGATTTGCTTGGGTCTCAGGACAACTCATCTGTAAACCCCTTTAGATAAGTTTAAAATAAATATCATTGCCAGCAGACTTGTGTAGGGTATACAGAATTCAGCGATGGCGAAGCAGCTTCCGCTTGCACGTGCGCTGCGATGCAATGCGATGCGATGCGATCCGATGCAGTGCGATTGTTTCGTTAATTATTTATGCTCTCTCAGTTGTTTCTTTTGATTGCTGTTGTCGCTGCTTCTATTCTAATAATTGTGTCTGCTGGTAGGGGTAGGAGCTGTGCTGTAGGTTGAGTGGAGCTTCTGTTAATTGCACAATATTCATTTTCAACTGCCGACGGTCAACATTTAGTGCGGCTACTTGCCACATGCCTTCTCCACTAGCTTCGACACGCAACTTTATTTAAATTGTGCTCATTTTTCAGATTCTTATTAATTAACACGAAGCTCAGCTCAGCTCCGAGCATGAGCACGGACTTGAGCTTGACATTGAAGCAAAACATATAAGAGCTCTTTGTCCGTTTTATTACG